GGGAAAGCGCCCAAGCCCAGAGTTCAAGCCAAATGAATGACTGACCAAAAAAATTATATATATATAATTAAAACATACAGTAAGTCGTTTTAATTATCTATATGGTAGGGAAAAGTGTTTCAGAACTAGAGCAATGATCAGTATCAATGATTGTCAGTTAGCAGTGGTTCTTGTTGTCAAGAAAATATTTGGTAGTGTCAGGAGGCTTTTGGTTTTAATAACTGGTAAGATTCACACACTAGCATAGTGAATAGAGAGTCAAGGCACTGTTAAATGTCCTGCAGTGCATAAGAACCAAATGTCAGTAGTGATGAAGCAGAAAACCTATGAAACTAGAGTGGGAAAACTTGTTTTCTCTTTGATTCTTAAAGAGAAAATCAAGTTGCCGGTCTCCCAGTGTCTTCCAGAAATGAAAGGTTTGCTGGTCTGGTCTCATGGCTCCACTGGTAGAGCACCTGCTCAGCAATCACAAGGCCCTAAGTTCAAACCTTAGCACCACAAAAGAAAGAAAGAAAAAAGAAATTGTGGACTTGCTTATTGAATACCAACTATTTCCACCAATATTATTTTTCTTAAAAGTCGCAAATTATGGTAAAATTGTACTTTGTAGTTACTGAGATTCTCGGCTCTATAATTTATAGGAAATCTTTAAAAGAAATAAAGATCAAAATATTTATGGGTAATTTACTAACATTTTTTTGTATTGGGCATATCTGATGAGTTAATTACTTTTTTTCCAGGCTGAAGAAGAAAAGAAGAAAATCATCATCTTCTTCAAGTGTTTCTTCTGGTGATGAGACAGTTTCTTCTTCCTCATCGTCCTCCTCTTCTGGTCACAAAAGGCATAAGAAACATAAGAGGACCCGTTCAGAGTCTTCTCGAAGTTCCAAAAGGCATTCAACGAGGGCATCCTCAAGTCACATAGAACAGAATAGGAAAGATGAGTGCTACCCAGTTCCAGCAAATACTTCGGCATCTTTTCTTAACCAGAAAAAAGAAGTGGAAAAACTGCTGGAAAAGCAAGAGAGGTTACAGTACCAAAAGGTACAGGTGAAAGAGAAGGATAGATGCCCTCTCTCTTCATCTTCAGTTGAAATAACAGATGATTTTGGAGGTAGGTCTGAAGATCCAAGAGATGTTTGCAACAGCTATAAAACCCAGGCAGGATGTAGCAAAACAGAAAAGCCATATAAATCAGAAAGACATTTTTCCAGTAGAAGAAATTCCTCAGATTCCTTCTGTAGAAATTCAGAAGACAAGATAAGAATGTATGGTTACAGGAAATGTGAAAAGGACACAGAGGGAAGAAAAGAACACTACAGAAGGTGGGAACCAGGCTCCATGCGGCATTCTACATCACCAGCAAGTTCAGACTATTCTTGGAAGTCATTTGAAAGACATAAAAAATACACTTTTTCTGGATCCCGTGATTTCAGTAGACACGAGCAAAGATACCGATTAAATGCAAATCAAGAAGAATATGAAAGAGAGGACAATTCTGGGGAGGAAAATAAAACAGAGGTTACAGAAAAAGATGGACTAAATAGCACAGAGCAATCAGAAAGCAGAGTTAAAAAAAATTTACCTCAAAATTTACTCAATATATTTAACCAAATAGCTGAATTTGAGAAAGAAAAGGGAAATAAGCCAAAAAATTAATATGCTAAGAAAAATTGTACCATTACACTAACAATAAAGTTGGAGTGTTTTAGTTCTAACAGTATGATGCAGAAATATAGAGGTTTTCTCAGATTTTGTTTTAGGTCACCTTGTCACAGCTTGAGTTTCCATTTTCAGCCTTTCATGGGAATGTTTATGTACAGTATTTTTCCTACTCAGTATAAACAACTTTACCTAAGGATAAATATCTAAAAGCATTGTTTCTTCATTGTTACACTGTATGAGAATCCCTTATCTTAACAGAAAATTAAATTTGTTCATTGAATATCTGTGTTGTTTTTCATCAAAACTTTTTACTCCATTTTTTTGTCAAAAGCCCCAAACACAAATATATGTATACATATGTATGTGTGTGTGTGTGTGTGTGTATAGAGAGAGAGAGAGAGTACTACTATATTTCATACCCATTTCTTCAACTTTTTGGACAACTTTATTTTAAATTGTTACACTTAATTTGTCTCTGAAGCCTACTTTAAAGTAACTGGTGAACAGCTACTGGTTTATGTCCAACTTAAATGTCTTAGGAATAAGACCATGAAAATTTATTTGGGAGCAGAGCCTTTTTTTTCTCTATTATTTTTACTTTTAGCTAGCATGGGTGTAAGATTTTTTTTAACTATATTGATAGACCTTTAGAGACTATGTCCTAGTTAAGAGTAGGTAAGAGTAGAAAATAATCCTTACAGCAAAAAATGACAGTGGCAAAAAATTACCTTTAAGTGTAGATTTCTTCTGGGGTAAGAAATTACTAGTGCAAGTGTTCAATGAGAAATCTCTAGGCATATTCTAGAATAATCTAGGCTGGCTTGTATTACTTCTCTTTGTCACTGCCTTTCCCTTACTGTCACCCTTTTCAGTTCTAAATAAATGACTGTACTGAGTACAGCCTTATTTTACTCAGAATAAATGCAGCAGCTAGAGCTTTTACAGAAGGGACTTAGATTTTTAAAGATTCTCCTAAGATTACTGAAACTGGTAGAGTATACTCAGAGATACCAATAGGAATCAGGTACTATTGGACTTAAGATGTTTTGAGAATCTTAGTTGAAGATTCTAGAAGGCGTAAATGACAGTGGACTTTAAAAATCTAAACACTCAAGATGTAGGTCAAGGGATAGATGAATATCCACCTACAAAAGCTGAGAATTACAACAAAGGGAACCTCATTACTTGGTGTGTCTTGCAGCTCTTGCCAACAGTAATATAGCAGAACTTTTAATACTGTTGTGTATTGTTTTCATCCTTCAAAAATTGTAATGATTGACTAAGAAAATGTGAAGCTCATGTTGCAGTGGAACAAGGAAAAAAGCCTTAAGAACATAGCACAGGTGTGTGGCTCAAGTGGTACTGAATCTGTCTAGCAAGTGTGAAAACCTGAGTTCAAGCTCCAATATTGCCACAGTAGGAGCCATAAGTAATGGCGGTAGTAGACACCAAGTCTCGTCTAAGAGTCAGTTCTACCTATTAACTTCCTCACTATCTCTATAGTTTTATAATTGAGGTTCTTAAGGAGTAAAAACTACCTCTTGCATATAGCACTTAACCATGGGACTCTCCAGAACAGTTTAATATTGCCCACACTAATTAGGGTATTGCCTTGTCTTGCAGGCTGCCTGAATTTTCAAAATGTCATCTTTCCAAGGACCTCTCCTAGGATATAGTAAGCAGGGTGCATCACGCAATTGTAAGGGTATGCTCAGGAAGCCCATTGCAAAAAGTACTAGAGATTGACATTTCAACAATACCTAGTGATATCTTCAACTCAGTATCAGTGTGTATACACTTTGTATACACCCAGCTGTGAATTTGTTTCTGTAAGTATGGGTTTAACCCCTTCTTAAAAGTTAGTATTATTACACTAAAGTAAAAAATATTTAATATAGGGATTAAAGTTATATGCTAATTGAAGAACCTACTTAATGTTAAGTTGTAAGTAGTGACTTAATAGAAATTAACTATAGTACGATTGCTATGTGTCAAGCCCCCAGCATTTTGTTTATATTACCCAGTTGCTTCAGTAACTCAGAGTACTATGTTACAAATGAGAGGAAAAAAATAATGCCCAAGGTCACAGAGCTAGGACACAAATCTTGGCTTCATAGAACACAGCTTACTGTTCTCAAATTCCAAGTCATTTACAAATGCAGATCTGACAATAGGACTTTGAGAAACTTTAGCCACCTAAATAAATAGTTTTAGGCCTGTAAATTTCACAGTGTAATTTTGGGTCCAAAAATTATTCAGCCTTGTTACCCCTCTTTTTTCTGGTTGAGCATGCCAGTTTGGGGCTTGAACTCAGGACACTGTCCCTGAGTTTCTCAAAGCTTACACTCTAATAAATGAGCCACAGCTCCACTTCTGGCTTTTTTGGCTCTTAATTGGACTTTCTTGCCTGGGCTGGCTTCAAACCAGGATCCTCAGATCTCAGCTTCCTAAGTAGCTAGGATTACAGACATGACCCACCAGCACCCAGCCTTGTTACCCCTCTTAATCCCTGGACTTCACTACTATGCCTTTTCTTGGCAATTTCTGAAACAATGAGAAGCTAATTTTCTGTCATTCTGCTTTTCAAAAGTAATTGTGACTAGTGGTTCTAAGACAATCACAGTCATAAAAAAATTTTTTTCAAGATTTGAAGGAGATGTTCGTTTACACACATGAATTCTAATACCTTTATTTGAAATCAAAGTTTTATAATATTTCACACTATCCCAAGAACTTGGAAATGCTGGATACCAAATGTTAACTGAAAAAACATTTAAACCTAATAGCTTATCTCCAGTGTAAATTTATGTAACTCTACTTGCAAATGAATAATAAATTCAAATTGCACATCTAGCTTTCTTTTATGTGTTTATTAAGGAAATTTCAAAATAAATTCTTTATGCATAGTTGGCTATATTTGACTTTCAAAATCATTGAAGCTGCACTTTGGTTTATACCCAGCATTACTCCTTACTACTATGAAGCTGTCATTTGGTTACAAATTATACCAAAGGAAAAATTACCTTTGACATGTTTTTTCAAAAAAAAGTCTAGTTTGGGAATCTTCTAGGGTAAATTAGCAGAAATTTGTGCAACAAAGTCAACTACTCACAAACATCAAGACTATAGCGAGAAAACCCCTTTTTCTCTACTTATTTAATATAGCCTGGTTAAGAATCAATTACTATCTTTCAACTTTACATATAGTAGTAGAAAAGCACATTAGCTTCTTTGAGTTTTTACTGGATAAATGGTCATTTTATTTCAAAGACTATCTCATGAGATAATTTATATCATGACATAAAAAATAGAAGGGATTTGCTGTTCAGTGTGAGACTTTTCTTGTCATAAAACTTGAATGAAGATAAAAATATCTACTTGGTCTTTTTGTTTTTATCATTATTAGAACTACTAGCACTAGGTGGCCTGGAATGTCTGTCTGCTTGTGCTGAGTCAGGGAAGCTGAGCTCTACCACTTTAATCGAAGACTGGGAACCAGTAGGACTGAAGCTCCTAGTTGACCTAGGGGAAAAAAAGAATGTCATAAATTTAATACAAAGTTTATATTTAATATAGACCCCTTTTATCATTTGCAAGAGATACTATAATTTAATAAGTAGAGCTTAAAATACATGTTAGCAAAGTCTAAAGGTATTAATACCAAAACCTTTTTTAAAAGAACATAGCTTCTATAGATAGATCATAAATATGTTTCTATATGAGAAAAATGTTTTCAACTATCGTTTCTTAAGAGTTGGAAGCATTAAGCAAGTATTAATAGCATGTTAATGCTGAAATCTCTCAATGAACTAATAAAATGTAGCTCTTGCTTATAGGAGACTAGAAGTTCTAAACCTAGGATCATCAAGAAATTTGTCCACAAAGCACTAGTGTTGAAAGTGTCCCTAGTGATAGATTCAGGACACTATTAAATTGATTGCAGAGGCAAAAAAAAATAGTTAATACTTTTAGCAAAATAAAATTAAATCCTGATTATATACAATTTCACAAGTGCAGCTTTAATAAAAAATCATACTCCACAGATCTGTACATCTAAGTTGTTAAAGTTTTAAAAGATTTTTCTCCAACTTGGTCCACTCCAAATCCTAGCTGTACCCCTCAAATCTCACCTGCTTTATCCTAAAATAGTTGTTAATCATGGCCTGTAGGCCAATTTAGAAGTAATGACATCAGAAGTGTTTCTAGCAGAGCACCAGTGGTTCACATCTGTCATCCTAGCTACTCTGGACACTGAAATCTGAAGATCTCCTGCCAGCCCAGACAGGAAAGGCCATGACACTTGGTTCAAGTGCCAATCCTTGAGCAAAAAAGCCTAGGCACAGTGTCCAGGCTGAGTTCAAGTCCAGTACTGGCACAAAAAAAAAAAATTGTTTCTACTTATAATTACATGGTGCTGGAATAGAGAGCTGGGCAGAGGAAAGGCTGGCAGTATGTGGGCTGGCCAGCAGCTGTAGGATTAGTTGGGTTCATTTAGCAGCTGCTACAAGCTACAATGTTTTTACACCCTCCACTTACCTTCCTGATCGCAGGGAAGTCTGTGAAGAGGACCTAGAACTATGAAGACTGCGTTTACTAGCTGTAGGGAATTCCAACCCATTCTGAAAGAATAAATAACAGCAATCATTAGTTCTGTATTTTCAAAGAAAAACATTCTTAATTAGATTTTATGACGAAAACACCAACAGTTATTTTCATCTAATGTTTAAGAAATAGTAGGGCTGGAGATATAACTGAAAGCCAGAGCACTTGTGCAAAGCCTGTGTGAAGTTCAGTTTCCAGCACCAAAGAAACACAAACACACACATTACGACGAGGTACTGCATGTGTTACCTGCTGAAAGTATGTTTGGAGGACAACTTGGAGATCAGCATTTTTTTCTGCTATCTCAATTAACATTTCATCAATGTCCTTGTGAAACTGTTTTGTTTCACGAAATTTAATGTCTTGTTCCTCTAGCGTTTCATCTTGTGTTTGCTTCAAGAGACGCATATCTTTTATGAGTTTCTCACACTGTAGGAAAAAGTAGTCAATTATTAAATAGACCTCTGTTCCTGATTGTTTTCAGATAAGGATATGAGTTTATGATTTGAGATTTCAAAAAGTGTACACATTTACAGGTCAGGTTTTTAAAAAAAAAAAATATATATATCATTACCTGTTTAGTGACTCTCTCTAATTTTGGCTTCTGTTCCTCAGTATCTTTACGTAGTTGGAGCAAATAATCTTGCTTCCCTGACAATTTTTCCTTGGCAGTTTTTGTTAAATGTTCTACAACTTCTGAAGTATTTTCCATGCTCTGTAGAAAAGAAAGTATTAATATACTTACTGGTTAGAACAAAAAAATTGACAGTGTTAGCTATTTGTCAAGTATTCACTTAATCTAAATTCTTTGTTTTTAGTTACATGTATTTTATTGGTCAATAATAAGTATAGTGGTCTTGTGGACTTTATTTTTTATATATTCCCCCAGAAAACTTATTTTGGTACTTGAGAAAAATAAAGAATATGAAACAGGCACTGATGGCTCAAGCCTGTAATGCTAGCTTCTCAAGAGGCTGAGATCTGAGGACTTCCAGCCAGGGCAGAAAAGTCTGTGAGACTTTATCTCCAATTAACCAGCCAAAAGCCAGAAGTGGAACACTGGCTCAAGTGGTAAAAACACCAGCCTTGAGCAAAAGAAGGCCAAGTGAGAGAACGAGTTCAAGTTCTAGTACCAGTATACATGCACACACACACACACACACACACACACACACACACACACACACACACACAAATGTACTGGACTATTGAAATCAAATAATTTTCAGATATTCAAAAGTCATATCTCTTCCTTCTGTTTTTTTTAAATCATTTAGGTCTTGTTTACAAAGCATATTTACATCTCTCAGTGATTTGCTTTAGTAACTAATTTCTACTTGAATATTTCTTGTCTTTTAACCCTTTTGTCAGTACTAAGGCTTTTAAGGCCTCACACTTGCCAGCCATGTGCTCTACATCTTGAGCCACATCTTGATCTTGTTTCTTTTCTGCCAAATCCTCAATTAAAAATAACAAGTTTACATAAAAAATGAAAATCTTGGGGCTGGGAAGTTGGTTCAGTGGTAGAGTGCTTGCCTTGCATGCATGAGGCCTGGGGTTCGATTCCTCAGCACCACATAAGCAGAAAAAAGCTGGAAGTGGTGCTGTGGCTCAAGTGGTAGGGCACTAGCCTTGAGCTGAAGAGCTGAGGGACAGCGCCCAGGCCCAGAGTTCAGGCCCCATGAAGGACAAAAAAAAAAAATCTTTTGTACAGTTAATAGAGATCCTTTCGAAAAGTTAAAAGACAATCAACTGGGGGAAAATCTGCAATATTCAAAGGAGTGATCGCCATAACATTTAAAGTTCCTTAGTGGGGTGCCTATGGTTCATGCCTGTATTCTAGCTACTCAGGAGGCTGAAATTTAAGGATCCTAGTTTAAAACCAGCCCGGGCAGAAAAGTATATAAGACTCTTATCGCCAATACACCACCTAACCCAGAAGTTAAGTTATGGCTCACGTGGTAGAGCACTTGCCTTGAGCAAAAGAAGCTCAGGGACAGTGCTCAGGTGCTGAGTTCAAACCACACACCCCAGGACTGGCAAAAAATTAAAAATAATTAAAATTGTTAAAAAAATCTCCACAAAATGAACAATAAAGAGAAAAAATAAAAGGACACAGAGGGTCACATCATTCTTGGAAGGTACATTTATGTAGTAAACACAGATGCATTATCTCACTATTATTCAGAGGCATGCAAATGAGGAGTTACCAGTATGTATTCATCAAACTAGCACAACTAGAACAGTCTGCTCCCACCTAGTGTTAATGAAGAGGAGAAAAGGTCACATTTGTGCAAAATGGTGGGATGTGAATTGGTACAATGCTCATCAAAATTAAATGTCTGCAAACTGCATGACCCAGCAATTCAATTTAAAAATAACTTTTAAAAAAACTTTTGCTTGAAAAGGTCAGATAATGTGATGTTAGGAAAATGAACCCTTAGATATGTATGTAAATGTGTTTTTTTCTTTCATGCATTTGTTTCTAACACATTTATAAGATTATTTCCTTGTTGCTTTGTATGTCCCTCCTGCACAGTATAACCCCTGCTTTCACTATATTTGATGTCGGTATAATTTCTGGAGGAGATGGGGAAACACAAGTCGTTTAAAGATACAGGTGGACCCGTTGCAACAATGAGAAGTACAAGTTGTCATGTCAAAAATGAACTTTACAACTTTGGTGCAGGGTGTGTGGGGGGGGGGGAGATTAGGTGGGGGGTGAAGGGGGGAGGCTGGGAAGGAATGTGGTGAAGGGTAAACAAAGGAGGAGCCTGCAATGCTTGATAAGCAATTACTCATTATCTTGCCCATGTAATTGTAACCCCTCTGTACAGTATGTTCACAAAAAAAATTAATTAAATTAAAAGATAAAAAAAAAAAACAACTTTTGCTTGTGTGCTCAAAATGTGACAGCATTTTTCCCTCTATTTTTGGAAGTATGGGACCTCACACTTGGTAGGCAAGTGCTCTACTACTGAGGTATCCCTCCAGCCCTTTTTTATTTTTGCATATAGTGCCTTGTATTTTTACTTGGGGCTGACCTCAGATTGTGCTCTCCAAGTTATGCTTCTTGCATAGCTTGAAACACAGGCCTGCAGTACCGTGCTCAGCTTATTGTGTAAGATGCCATCTCTCTTACTTTTTGTCTGAGTTGACCTGGAACCATGACCTTCCTGATCTCCCAGTTGCTCGCCAACCTCCCCAGTAGACAGAATTACAAGCAGAGCTATTGCACCCAGCTAAACTTTTTAAGGGACCAATGGTAATGTGATCTTAAGGAATTAAATTAAGAATCTTAAGGAATGTATTAAATAGAAGATAGGCCATTATATGACAGTTGTGAGTCATTAACTAATAACACATAACTGTTGATACTGAGCATTATTAAAGAATTTTAATTGATTTACTATTTCATTCACTTTGGTAAGGGATATGAGATGCATATCTCTTACTATTTTCCTGAAAAGGCTCCAAAAAGACTGCTTTCTTTGTGCAAGAGTAAAAAATAAGTAGTAAGAATAACAAATAAAAGAATACAGAGGGGATAAAAGGCAATGATATAGATTGTTGACTTTTATTGGCAGTTTATTATTAAGAAGCTTATGGAATTTACCTGGATGTCTTCTTCAATTTCTCTGATTTGTCTTTGTTTGTATCGATATTTTTCATCAGCAATTCTTTTTTGTTCTTCTAGTTTAATTTTTAGCCCATATTCATCACCTTCAATTCAGAGAATTTTTAGTTTGATTTTGATATGCTATATATATAAAATATAAGGTATTACATACATTACATTTCCTAACTTTTTGTTATTAAAGGTTAAATTCATTATATCTACTTGAAAAACAGTATGAGCATGTCGTAACTTTTTTTGTTTTTGCTTTTTGTTTTTGTCATGGTTAGGCTTGAACTCTGGGCCTGGGTACTGTCCTTGAGCTCTTTTGCTCAAGACTACCACTCTACCACTTGAGACACAGCTCCACTTCTGGCTTTTTTGATGGTTAATTAGAGATAAGAATCTCACAGACTTTCCTGCCTGGAAAGGCTGGCTTTAAACCACGATCCTCAGATCTCAGCCTCCTGAGTAGCTAGGATTACAGGCATAAGCCACTAGCACCTAGCAAATCATACTGTGTTCACTCTGTGCTTTTTTTTTTTTTTTTTTTTTTTTTTTTTTGCCAGTCCTAGGTCTTGAACTCATAGCCTGGACACTGTCCCTGAACTTCTCTTGCTCAAGGCTAGCACTCTACCACTTCAGCCACAGCACCACTTCCAGCTTCTTCTGTGTATGTGGGTATTGAGGAATCAAACCCTGGGCTTCATTCATGCTAGGCAAGCACACTGCTACCATATTTCCAGCCCTGTAGTAACTTTTTAGTCAACACAAAGTAGCAATATGCTACAAATTTTTTTCAGATTGAAGTTAATTCCATAGAGAATGATGTCATATACCCACAGATCTAATAAGGGAAATAATACATTAGCAGAATAATTACAAAAATGGGAAGGAAAGGAAGGATGTTTGATTTTTCTGACACAATCAAACATGGCACATTCTTTATAATTCAGTGTTTTTCTTTTTTTGGGGGGGGGAGGGGGTCCGGTCGTGGGGCCTGAACTCTTGGCCTGGGTGCTGTCCTTCAGCTCTTCAGCTCTAAGGCTAGCACTCTACCACTTGAGCCACAGCACCACTTCCGGCTTTTTTTTTTTTTCTGCTTATGTGGTGCTGAGGAATCAAACCCAGGGCCTTAAGCATCCAAGGCGAGCGCTCTACCACTGAGCCACCTTCCCAGCCCCAATTCAGTGTTTTTTTTTTTCTTAACTAAATAAACTTCACTGCATATATTTCTTTGACTCCTACATACTAGTTGGTGTCACTTTTTTAAAAGACTGTTTGTAATGATCATTGCAGTTGGTCAGAACTTGCAGAGTGTTTTCGAGGGCATAAATTTCCTTTTCTGCTTTGTTGATCTGAGCATCCAAACTGTCACCTTCCCTTTGAAGTTCTTCTTTTTCTTGAGCAGCCTGAACAGAAGAGAAGGGAATCACTTAAGGTACTAACTCACAGGGAGTCAACCCACAACTAAAGTCTGGCTGTTTCCGGTCTCTTTTTCTCCCACCACACTATTTCAAGTGAAATGGCCATTTAACTAGGCCATAGAACCTAGCTGGAGGAAGCAAGTCCCCAGGTATGTGCCTTAAAAGGTTATTCTTGTTGACAGTGCTGTCAGCTGTCTGTCTGTCTGCTGCCTAGCTGCTGTGCAGGATGCAACTAGTTCTTGTCCATGCTCCTGGACAGGTTGTTTTGCATTACCACAACCCAGAAGCCCTGGCTGAGTGACTCAAGACTGAAACCTGAAACTGAGAAACATGAACTTTTCCACCTAGAGTGTTGATGTGGGGATATTTTGTCATAGAAATGGAAGTTTGGCTCAAAGGCAACATTTGTTAAGGAAATGTGTCTAATTCACTTCCTGAAGATGAATGATACAAATGTTATTGTAAAATGTTAGAAACTGAAGTGTTTCTAACAAACCTATTTCTCACAGAGTACATTCTAGTGTAAAACAAGTGTCCAGTGGTTAAATAAAACTGCTTTTAACTGAAATTGATTTTATGGAAGCTTATAGTATGTTCATGCTATATCTGCTGACCTGGAACCTGAGAAGTTCTTAGAATCATTTGAGAACTCTGGAGAGCCTGCCTACTGAGTTATCTTGGTTAAAAAAAAGTTTTTGCTGAGAGAAGAAATTTTTCTTCTCAGCATTTATAGCATTTGATGTTTTCTAGCCCCATCTATTCACAATCCATTTTAAAGACTGTGGGAGGTAAAACAACCTAGAAAATGAGTTTTTGGGATAAACCTTGGTTGCCTTTTACTTCTCTCCAAGATCTGAAATGAGAATGTTCCTGAACCTCCTGCTTTAATACCCGATTTCAACTCCACATGCTATTAACGCCACTTCCCTTCTCAATCAATTTGATACCTGCCTAGCTTTATTATTATTAATAATTAATTAAGATAAGTTCTTGCAAAATGGCTTTCCCAAGCTGGCCTCAAACCGATATTCTCCTTGATCTAAGTCTCCTAATTAGGTAGGATTACAAGTATGAGCCATTGCACTTGCCTTGGAAATGTTTGTAGGATTTTTGAGCATTTTCAAATGATTGCCTAATTAATATGACCTAATAAAAATGAACTGAAGACATTAAAATATGCCCAAGTATAGACCTAAAAATATGTTGAAGAATGGTCATCCAGGCAATACTGGTTCATGCCTATAATCCTAGCTACTCAGGAGGCTGAGATCTGAGGATCTTGGTTTGAGGCCAGGCAGGCAGGCATACAAGTCCTCACCTAGTTGAACTAGGGGCATGGCTCAAGAAGTAAAGCACCAGTCGTGAACAAGAAAACCAAGCAACAGCATGGAGCCCTGGGTTCAAGCCTTGATAACCGGAAAGTAAAACCTAGTTAATTGGAATGACCTTAAAGAAGAAGGGCTTTAGGGAAAGTAAGCAAATTTTGAAAGCCAGAAAGGAGTGCTTTCTCCAGCTCATGGAGATCTTTTTCAATGTCTGAATTTTTTTTTTTTTGGGGGGGGGGCGGGTGGGGAGGTGGGAGTACTAAAGTTTAAGCTCAGAGCTTTGAGTTACTTACATAGGCACTCTACTGCCACTTGAGCCATGCCTCCAGCCCTTTTTTGTCAGTCATAGATCTTGAACTCTGGGCCTGGGTGCTGTTCCTGAGCTCTTCAACTCAATGCTAACACTCTACCACTTGAGCCACAGTGCTACTTTCGGTTTTCTGGTTGGAGATAAGAGTCTCACGGACTTCCCTTCCAAGGCTGGCTTTGAACCACGATCCACAGATCTCAGGTTCCTGAATAGCTAGGATTGCATGTGTGAGCCACCAGCACCTGGCTTCCAGCCCTTTTTTACTCTGGTTATTTCTGAGATTATGGTCCCACTTTTAGCCAACAGTCTGACCATGAGTATCCTATGTATGCTTACTACCACAACTGAGAACAGTAGGTGCATGCCATCACACTCAGCTTTTCTTTTGAAATGGGGTCTCATGAACTTTTTGCCCAGGCAAGCTGGCCAATCAGGCCAATTGTCCTGATCTCAACTTCCCAAGTAGCTTGAATTACACACATGAGCTTCCACCATAGGGCCTTCTTCATCTTTTTGCTAGCATAGTTGTACAGCATGAGATGATTCACTTGGTAGATCCATGTATACAATATACTTCGATCGTATTCACCTCCTTCTACTCTTTCTTATCCCTCTTACATGCAATTATTATCTTACTTGCGATTTCAAAAAGGGTTTCATTATGACTTTGCATGCAAAATAAGTTGATCATATTCTCCTTCCTCCTTACCCTCCCACAGTTCCCTGAAATAGTCCCCCATTTAGGTCCACTTCCTTTACTTTAGATGTAGCTTCTGCACATGTGAGAAAATAGGCAGTGTTTGAGTATGCCTTATTCACTTAATCATCATATTATCTCCATCTCCATTCATTTTTCTGCCAAATGACATAATTTGTTCTCGATGCCATGGCTAAGAATGCTACGCATGTCTTCATTGGCCATTCATACTTGTTTTGTGAACTGTCCAACTCACTGGCCTCAAGGATTGGGAGTTCATAAAACTAACAGTGCTTCAGGAAATGAATTCTAAGAAATGGAAACAAGAGGTCTTTTTCTTTGTTGCTGTTTTTGTTTTCCTTTATTTTTGTCTTGTTTGTTCATTTATATGCCTTTGGGCCAGTAAAGGGAGGTACAGAAATGGTAGGACAGAGGGTGAACAAATGCAGCAGGGATGCTCACTAGACACAATGTTAAAAATGAACTATACAACTTGTGGGTGGGGACAGGAGAGGAAAACTGGGAGAGAGGGAAGAATTCAAAAAGAAATGTACTCTTTACCTGGCTTATGTAACTGTAACCCCTCTGTACATCACCTTTATAATAAAAATAACAAATTTTATAAAATAATACTGTTTCAGTACAACTGTTTTAGTCCCTTGTCAAGTGCAATAGGTAATGGCTTTAAGCAAATTAAATAAGTTGCTTTGTTTTAGGAGGAAGATGTCAGGTTCATTTTTTAAATCCAGAGAATCCAGGCACTGGTGGTTCACACTTGTAATCCTAGTTACTCAGGAGGCTGAGATCCAAGGATCCCAGTTCAAAGGCAACCTAGTCAGAAAAGTCCATGCTTATCTCCAAAAACAACCAAAAAAGCCTGAAGTGGAGTAGAGCTGTAGCTCAAAACTAGAGTGCTGGCTTGGAGCAAAAGAAGCTCTGGGACAGTACCAGGCCCTGAGTTCAATCCCCAAGAACCATAGCGGAAAAAAAAAAAAAAAAAAAAAAAAAAGCAAGCATTTTCTGTGGTTTCAACATGAACTCTCCAGTATGAGCCTAGGCTCAGATAAGGAAGGTTTCATCAGACCAATGGCCTCTCTAGGCAGTGGTACAGATAGTAGGATGTATACCCTGGAAGTGACAGATGGGGATGTGTCACCATGGAGTTTCATCTTGTCCCTGGTCCCCATGAGGTGAACTTCTGTGGTCCACTATGCCCTCCTGCCATGATGTCTGCTGCACCACAGGCCTAGAGGATTGCCCACTGAAACCACAAGTAAAAACAAGTCTTGTCTCCTTTTAAACAGTTTCCCTGGGTTATTTGTTACAAGGACAAAAGAACTGGCTAGCACATGATTACTAGGAGTGGGTTAACACAGAAAGGAGACTTCACACTACCACAACTGTAAAGCAACTAAGATTACCTTGATGACATAATAGGCATGCGTCTTCTCCCCTTCTCCTTCGGGAGGCAGCATTACAATGGTAAATATTTCATATCGATTCTTCAGCTTATCGATTTTATTTAGCCTATCGTGGAACTCAGCACTAATAGGAAAGAAAGATGCAAGGAACTATCATGTGTTCTTACTGAAGGCAGAGGGATTGTGTTACTATTAAATGCAAACATAAATGTGTTTTCACTTTTTAATATTTCAAATGAAAGTTTACCCTACTTGAATGCTAACAGGTTAGCATGCCACAGCTTCATGGATGCTGGCAGAAGACACCAACTCCTGGTGACTGAGGCAAAGGACTTTATCACGCACAACATAGCAAGCAGTGGCCCCTTTCTGACTGTATTACTTCCCTTGTACCCCATGCTCAATCCAGCCAGGAAGGGTTCAGAGGCATGTACAAAACACAATAGAGGGGCTGGGAAGTTGGCTCAGTGGTAGAGTGCTTGCCTTGCATGCCTGAGGCCCTGGGTTCGATTCCTCAGCACCACATAAGCAAAAAGAAAAAAGCCGGAAGTGGTGCTGTGGCTCAAGTGGTAGGGTACTAGCCTTGAGCTGAAGAGCTGAGGGACAGTGCTCAGGCCCAGAGGTCAGGCCCCACAACCGGACCAAAAAAAAAAACAAAACACAATAGAGCTGGGCACCAGTGGGTCACGCCTGTAATCTTAGCTACTCAGGAGGCTGAGATCTGAGGATCACGGTTCAAAGCCAGTCTAGGCAGTAAAGTCCGTGAGACTCTTATCTCCAATAAACCACCAGAAAACCAGAAGTGGTGCTGTGGTTCAAGTGGTAGAGCATTTGCCTTGAGCTGAAGAGCTGAGGGGCAGCACCCAAGCCCAGAGTTCAAGCCCAACAACTGACAAAAACAAACAATTAAAAAAAAACACACAATAGATTTGTGCTGCAGGTAATGAACCTCACCCCAGGCAATGGGAAATGACCATGACTATTTCTCCAAAAGGCCCAACTGCCTCTAACCTGTGCTGCTCAAAGCAGAGCGGAGCTAGTTCCAGTGCTCACACCTGTAATCCTAGCTACTCAAGAGGCTGGGATCTGAGGATCAAGGTTTGAAGCCAGCCCCAGCAAGAAAGTCCCTGAGACTCATCTCCAACTAAGCATCAAGAAAAACTTTAAATTAAAAAAATTAAAAAGCTGGAAGTGAAGCTATGGCTCAAGTGAAAGAGCACTAGCCTTGGGCAAAATGCTCAGGGACGGCACCCAGGCCTTGAGCGCAAACCACAGGAGGCATGCGTGAGTGCATGCACGTGTGTGAGCACCGGCGCGCGCGCGCCCACGCGCGCACACACACACACACACACACACACACACACGCGTGCGCGCGCGCACACACACACACACACACACACACACACACACACACTAAGCAGAATAAGAAAATTCATGCCTCCTTTGCCTTTCCTTGCAAGAAAGGTGAAAATGATAGAGAATTTTCTTTCAACATTCAATTCTTAAATGTTAGCTTCATTTTTCTTCCATTTCAGTATTTGGGGAGCTATACTAATATACACACAGGAATATGGAGGTGACTGCTATAGCCTCATGAAAGCAAGCCGCCAAAGCTAGTGAGATCAACTCATCACTTTCCTACACCTACAGAGTTCTGATGCAAACAGATTTAATGTCAGAGGTGATATTTCTTTTTATTTTAAATTGTCAGTGTTGTCATCAGACTTCCTCAACTTCACACTTATGATGGCAGAATGAGCAGAGCTATAGCTTTTCTCCTTTCTAAAGTAGGGGAAAAATACACACACACACACACACACACATCAAAAAGAAAAGAAAGGACAATGATCAAGGCCCTTGTTCAAACCCTAGTACTGTCAAATGAATAAATGAAATATAAACTCTGGAAGCAGAGGTAGACTCATTTGATGGAGTGCCAACCTTGAGCAAAAGGCCAAGCACAAGTACAAGGCCCTGAGTTTAAGCCTTAGTACCAGGACAAAAATAAATAAATAAATAAAGCAGGAAGAAGGAAAGGAGAAAGGAAGGGAGGGAGGGAAGGAGGAAAGGAGAAAAGAAAAAGGAAAGGGAAGGAAAAAATAAAAGGAAAAAAACTCTGTGACAAGAAAGACAAGAACTTATTCATGAACTAAAAGAAAAAATGGAAAACAAAGATGGGATAAGATCAGCAGAACAAAAACAGATAGACCCCTGGAAAATTACTACAATAACAGTAGCCATTTTCCATTGAGTTTGGATATGACCCAAACTCAAGAATACAAAATGAAAGAGCACTAGTGATCTGTGAGGCCCTCATCAATGAGAAGTTAAGAAAAGATCTGTTTACACACGATCTAGACCATTCCCCTCATCCCTGGACATACATGGGGATGCTGACATGATTTCTTCTCCAATGATAACTGGACAATTACCAGAGTTTCCCCAAACATGAATTGCAATGAGAGAGAGAGACAGAGAGACAGAGAGAGAGAGAGAGTAAAAAAACAAATATGCAAAGCCAGGAACCCATGGCTCACACCTGTAATCCTAGCTACTCAGGGGGCTGAGATCTGAAGATCATGGTTCAAAGCCAGCCCGTGCAGGAAAGCCCATGAGCCTCTTATCTCCAATAAACCACCAGAAAACTGGAAGTGGCACTGTGGCTCAAGTGGTAGAGTGCTAGTCTTGAGCTGAAGAGCTGAGGGACAGGGCTCAGGCCCAGAGTTCAAGCTCCATAACCAAAAAAAAAAACAACGAAAAACAACCCAAAAAACAAATATGCAGTAATCTCTAAAACAGAGGAGGTAAATAAGGAGAAATGTTCCACTTAGCAATGAGATAATGTCTTCATTATTCAAAATAAACACTACCTATCCTTTTGTAACCATGGAAACCCTAACCCTGCCTAAGTTTTATTAGAACACAGCCAGGATCATTCATTTACATATTTTCTTTTTTGGTACCTCAACTTTATTTTTGTTCTTTTTCTTTCATGATCCAGATATTTTTAAGTGTCAAGTACTGTCAAAAGTGCAGACTGCAATTGAGTGATATAGCTGCAAATGTTGAATCAAGATCTAATTGTCAAGATGAAAGCAGACAACATATTGAAAGTTCATAATTATGTTTACATGCTTTTTATGGCTGATTTTAGTCACAACGGCAAAGTTGAGCTACTGAAACAAAGGCTACAGGCCTTCAAAGTACTAATATATTTCCATCTAAACCCTATGGAAAAGTGTGCAAACCTCTGATGAGAAGAAATATGTCACTGACATAGATAAAATGGATGAATAAGTCTCAAATTGTTGTTCTAAAAAATATTTACCAATGGATCTCACCTACATAAACTCTTGAAAACGTAATCAACTATATAGATAAAAAGCAGATCAGCAGTAGTCTGGAAACGGTACATGGGAAGAGATTGGATAGAGAAATTATAAAGGCACAAGGTTATCTATGGACATGAGGTTGAATTAATTGCCTTGTGTATGGTGATGTTTTCTTAGGTATACATTTAAATTATATACTTTCTACATGTGCTATTTATGGTATCTCAACTTTTCCCTACAGAGTTGGTTTTTAAATGAATCTTCAATTAAACCACTGATAGGAAAGGCAAAAGAAAAAGGAACATTTGGTATGGTAATATCATATTTTGTGAGATGACGTTCAAGTAATACATAAATTTTTTAGCCTTTAAAGTTAAAAATTAAAAAAAAATTAAAAAAAAATAAATAAAGTTAAAAATTAATAAATTCCACATCTATCTCAAGAAATTGGAACAAAAACATTTAAATGTCACAAATAAGAAAAAGTAATAAAGGTGAGATTAGAAATTAATGAAATGATGAATAAATGCACCAGTTGCAAAGAGTAGTAAGACTATGGCAATAATTTGAAATTTGAGATGAGTTGGAAAGTTTTTCACAAAGAAAATATGCCTGATTTATTGATTCTATTAGAAATATAAACTCTGCATTTTTTGGGGGGGGGGGTCCGGTCATGGAGCCTGAACTCTGGGCCTGGGTGCTGTCCCTCAGCTCTTCAGCTCAAGGCTAGCACTCTACCACTTGAGCCACAGCGCCACTCCTGGCTTTTTTCTTTTTGCTTATGGGATGCTGAGGAATTGAACCCAGGGCCTCATGCATGCAAGGCAAGCGCTCTACCACTGAGCCACCTTCCCAGCCCCAAACTCTGCATTTTTCTATAGTAATAAATTAATTGAACCAGTGGTTGAAAATCTTTCTCCATTAGAAAACTCTAGGTCCCCAGTGGCTTTACCAATAGTCTTTAAAAATCCAATGTAGTCTATTTTTACAAACATAGATACAATATAGAAAAAATATGAGACACAAAATATGAAGGTATACATAACCTTTATAACCTGAAACCTAAAAAGGCATTAGAGCAAAGAAAACTGTAAGTCATTTGTACCCATAAGTACAGTTGCAAAAATGTTAGCTTGGCTTAACTCTGAAAAACTGATCAATATAATTAATTACATGGACAGACTGAGCTGTTAATTCATTCATGTTAATGAATGAAGAAAATGTCAACATCCATTCCAGTTAAACAAATAAACAATCTGTTATTGAAGAAAATGGAAAAGGATATCTCAAAACAAACTAGGGAGGGGAAGTAGCATAGTTTGTCCAGATGACAGGAAGCCCCGGGTTGGATCTCCAGCACAGCAAAAAATAAATATATATGAAAACACAGCCACTCTTAGGGTTAATGGCAAAACAATGCATGTTTTTCCTACTGAGAACAGGAATAAGAAAAAAAAAGTCGCTGTAATCACCAATATTCAGAACTGAACTAGAGGTCTTAGCAATTACAATATAGAAAGAGAAAGAAAAAGTATAGATTGGAAAGAAAGAAGCATAGCTATGATAATTCAAATTTTAATATGAAAGAATACCTAGAATATCAGAATCTGTAGGTGAATTAAAGGTTTGGTAAAGCTGCTGAATACTTCTACAGGAAAATATTAGTCCTCAGCCATGCACAAAAATGAATTCCAAATCGATTAGTGATCTTAAAGTAAAACAGAAAAGGTCCAAGTTTCCAGCCTGGCAAAACTTGGATGCAGTTACATGAAACGCTTAATAAACTGAAAATTTTCTCCCCAATGTGCAAACAAAATGACAAGACTAAATCTGTGCCTGGCGATGTCAATCTAACTCTGAAGCTACACAAACACAGACACCTTTACAATTCGCCTGTAAGTTTGCTTTGTTTTATAGTATCTGTACTCCCTGTATTTTTCAAGAGCTATTTTATAAACAGATAATGTATTTTTCCATTGAAAGCACAAAAAAAAAAACAACCAGCACAATCTTAAAAAAAAAAAAAAAAAAGTAAACCAGAGACTCTAAAGATCACAGGATTAGTCAAAGGAAAGAGAGAAGAAAAAGCCTAGACATCTGGCTCTGATACACCCTAAGGAAAAGCCTTTGCATGTGAGTAATAGAGATGGCCATCCCACATGCAGTGGAAGAGACAGGGCTGCTCACATCACCCTCATGTTTGTTTCCCAATTCTTCAGTAATGTTTCAACACCTTCACAATTACCTTATGATTTGCCGTTCTTGATCCACACATCGTATCTGGGCGGCCAACATGGTTTTGTGAACCTTAATTTCTTCACTTCGCTCTTCCATGGCTGTACGTAATTGCTGTTTTCTTTTTTCCAGTGAAACAATTTCCTCAGCCTTACTGTGAAGCAGTTCTCGAGTGCGCTTAACCTCCAGTTTTAAAAGATTGTAATCTATCATCAATTCCTGTTGAAATAACACAATTTTCAAATGTTGGAATATTTATTTTTATACCAAAATATTTTTGTATTGCTATAAAAGTCAAACTTAGCCAGGTGTCAGTGGTTCATGCCTGTAATCCTAGCTACTCAGGAGGCTAAGATCTGAATATCATGGTTCAAAGCCAACCCAGGAAGGAAAGTTCATGAGACTTTTAACTCTAGTTAACCACACACACACACACACACACACAGGCAGAAGTTCAGAACACCAACCTTACTGAAAAAGTTAAGGGACAGTGCCCAGGGCCTGAGTTCAAGCCCCAGTACTGGCACACACACACATACACAAAAAGTCAAACTTGAAAAGGGTTTTGTCAGTCATGGGGCCTGGACTCTGGGCCTGGGTGCTGTCCCTGAGCTCTTCAACTCAAGGATAGCACTCTACTGCTTGAGCCACAGTTCCACTTCTGGCATTTTCTGCTTATGTGGTGCTGAGGAGTCAAACCCAGGGCCTCATACTTGCAAGGTAAGCACTCTACCACTGAGCCACCTTCTCAGATCCAAAAGGTACCTTTTTAAAATGGGATCATTGATTCAGACATTATCAAAGATCTTAATGTGTTCAAAGTCATGATTCTAACTTTTCTTTATAATAAGGGAAGACTTACAGTTATTTCAAATAATTTTAAATAGTTCAATTTTAAATTCAAGTATTATTATAAAAAGGAAAAACTCATTCCTAAAAGTTGAAACTTATAATACCCAGAAAACACACAAAGTCCTGTGGATGAACATTTTATACTCTAAAATAAATCTTTTAAGATACTATTGAAGCACACTTTTATTTTAAAACTATTCAATCATGAATAGAATGTTGAGATTTTTGTTGGGGGTAGGGCAAGGATAAGTTAGGAGTAGAGGGAGGAAGGGTGAACAAATAAGTCATTGTATTTACTGTCCACTATGTAAATAATTGAGCTACATAACTTGTGAGTAAGATGGAATGAGAACGAGGTGGAAGAATGATGGAAGAGGTGACATGGACCCATGGTGCATTGTACTCATAAACACCTTTGTATAATTACTGCATGTTTGTTAAGAGGCGAACTAAAATAATGGGATATGACGCATCAAATTGACAACAATTTTATAAATTAAAATATTCTCAGTGGAAGTAAACAAAAAAAGAATCACTTACATATGGCTGGTAGGAGGTATGAATTGAAACCTCAAGAGGGTAATTTGACTTAAAAAGCATTTTGAGACACTTACGAGCATCTCATTTTTGAATCATAATTACACATATAGAAATGTATCTCAAGAAATCAATTGAACAACTATACATCTATATAGATATAGGCACTGCACATTACAGTGTACAACAAAACAGTGGAAACAATCATACCCAGGAGTAAAATCTGCTTAAACTATGCTAACTTCATGCAATGAACTCAAAGTCTTTTAAGACTTATTTTCAAAATAGCAGTTAATGTTTAGAAAACATGTATAATACATTAAATATATGTATTAAAATACATTAAATATGTATAAATCCAACAGATAAAGTCAGTTTTGACCAAAAGGAATAATCGACTTTAACACTTTAAGTAGAGTGACCATAGTGACTTATTTTCTTCTTCATTATTCACTGTATTTTAAATTTTTCTATAGTTAACATAGAGATACACCACTTTTAAAATTATGCAAACAAGTTTATCGCACCTCTTTAAATTCTTTGGCTTTCTTAAGTTCTTTGTCTGATCTGTCGATGAAAAGTGTTAGTTCATTTATTTTATTCATGAAAACCTGCTTTTCCTCACAATTTTTACTGTTTGACTTCTTGATAAAGTAAAGGTCATTCTGTAGGAAGGCAAAGGTACATGAAATTTTGTTTTAAATAACCATGGTAAATATATACTAAAGATATATTAAATTATTTCTCATATTTATAATTGTTTCTCATATTATTGTACTAGTGCTTATTTTCTTTTTTTTTATGTCAGCATTTAATAACCAAATACTTTCATCTCTATCATCTTGTTAATGCTTCTAGTGAAATGTACATGGATAGCTGTACAGGACTCATTGATGCCATTCTAGAGTCCACTGTTTGATTTTTCCCAAGGCCCAGATTGTGAGAAACAGAAGGGCCTCCTGACCCCTGCCCACACCATCTCTTCCCTCCTCCTTTGCAGTAGCCAGACAATAAGAAGAGTAAAATTAGTGGTATAAAAATGTGATGTCAGAAAATTACATTTGGAACAAAAGAATTAAAGAACTGAGTTTCTGTAAAGTACTGAGTTTCTGTAAAGTAAGATATGAGGTGCCATGGGAAAGGGCAAACAGAATGACCTTACAATCAAATACTACTGTGGAGAAGAGCAAATCTTCATTAAGTTAACTAGCTTTAATTTTTTTTAAAAAATCACTGTATTTCTCTTGTCTATTAAAGGCAGAGTTGGAACAGGGCTAGGTTCTAGCTCGCTGGATAATGGATACACCGTGGCTAGGAGGTTAGAAGAGGAAGGTCCTAATCAGCGGTGTCCCCACACCACAGCATGCACATGATCCCAGCCACACTCCGGAAGCATGCTCACATACAGATTCTTCTCCTTTTCTCTAGCATAATGTTCTTGTAGTCTAGTGTTCTAAATAATTGACACAATGATGGTTATGACATATCTATTGAAAGCACTGAGTTAAGATATACACCACTTCTAGTTTTCCCAAATACCCTAAAATAATATTCAATATCTTCTTTTCCAATTAATAAATGAGTGTACTAGGGTGCAGGAAAGTTAAAATGGCCAGAGTGAAAAATCCAGAACAGGTTTTATCCAGTCCCAAAGCTGGTATCGTTTTCCAGTAAACCAAGACAACAGTGAATCAATATTTTATCAAGGCATGAACTCCAAACCAAAATGTTATGAAGGGCAATTCTAACTAGAACCACTAGGGGACAGTCATCACCAGTCCTTCCCACAGGAAATAAATAAACATTTAAACCCTATAAAGTTCCCAGCCTGTTCAGGTCTTAAAACAAAATTCCTACAATTAAAAAATATTCTCATCTTACTTAATGATGTCATTTGAAATATTTTAACTAATTAGTAGACAACAGACAACAACACACAAACAGTTGCTTCGGCTAGCTGACATTTCAGTGGTAAAGAGCCTGAGGTTATTTGTTATGGCATAAAACTGGGATATATCAATGTTCTCCATAGTAGGTAGATGCTTTAAGAGTATTTAAGTGGATCATGAATCAAACCCTACCTCTGTGGGCTAGCTACATACTCTGGAAACTTATAGAAAGTTACACAGAATAACGTGTATATTTATATAACATGTATACATATACTGTATATGTACTATATATTATATTAATGCAAAGGATAAAAGACACTTTTAAGGATTATGTGAAATAGAATATTAGAGGCAGGTAATACAATATTTAGCATGGAATAAAATCCTTATTGGTGGGAACATTACATTCTGATAGTATTTGTTAGGGTATTTGTTAGGGTGACTTGGCAATTACATCTTAGGAACACATTGACTTTAAAGAAAATAACTAGTAAATAGGATATTGAAAACAAAGAAAGGTTTTTGTCTAAGTTACGTGAAGCTTCTTGATCTGTGTTTCCAAAATGGTACATGTTGATTGCTTCTCTTCCAGTGTTTTCTTGAGTTCAACAATTTTTGCTTCAAGGATTTGTTTCTCTTCTGTATTAATATCTCCCTTTAACCGTGACATTCTCCGTTCCACTTGCTGAATGTAAAAATCCTGTTAATAGTTTTTAAAAAGAGGTTAGTGAGGGGATATAAATAATTAAAGGCATTGCCATAACTACCAACACAGTAAATACTGCCTTTAGTTTCGTGGAGGCATTATTGAGTTTACTTTGGTGCTTCACTAATCCAGTATAAAATTCTTCCTATTTTAGGGGGAACAACAACCATTATTCGGTAATCAGAATACATGAGAGTGACACAAAAACCCAAAAACCATCTGAAAAATACAACCAAGTCACTCCCAAAGCCTCAGGAATCCAGTGGAATGGATTTCTGAGGGGACATTTCATACAGGATGCAAGAAGTCACAGATAGCCATAAAAGGGTATATGGTAAACTTGCAGTGAATAGTGTTTAAAATCATAGTTTAATTAGCAACTTTACTTGGGAGAAATTAAGAATATGTTAGGCGTGGAAATTGTGATGTAGAGAAATAGGACTTAAGAAATTAGCAGAATAGAAAATATATGTTAATATATATCAAAATACAGAAACATCAAAAATACTTTCACTCCTGGCCTGGGGAGGGAGCTATGGATTTACACATTTGTATAAGTGAAAAGCAGCATCCAGTTTTTTGAGGTTTGCTATGTCATGACCTTTGTTTCACTCTGGGTCCAGACACTCCAGATTTCTATAAACATGGCCTTCTCTCCCTAGAGCTTTTTCCTGTTGCCCATTTATTTTAGATTGAGGGAAAACATAGCTTTTAAATTCCTTTGACCTTTTAGTGAACTATTATGAAAGCCAACATTCAGCATCTACTTATTGTTCCAAAAATTATTTAGAATATATTTTCTTAAGATACCAGAGCATCTAGGGGTTTTTGTTTGTTGATTATTGAGACAGGGTCCAAGTTGACCTTGACCTTACCATGTACCCTAAGTTGGTCTCAAACTTAAGATCCTCCTGCTTCAGCCTCCTGAGTGCTGAGATTATATACAGGTGGGTACCACCACACCAAACTCTGTACTGGGGTGTCTTTATCATCACAACTACAACAAATCAATGTGGAAGGATTTTATAAGAGTGCCACATACCTGACTGTACATAATTTCTTGCTGCTTCAAGGTTTCAAAGTCCCGCCGATGTAACTGATTGTTGAGATGCTTCAGAGAGGAACGGGTTCCTTCAATTTCTGACATAATCGCTTTTTCCTTTGTTGTCTCAGCCTGTAGCTCCTGAACTTTCTTAAAGAACACATCTTTCACTATGTTCAATTGAACTTCCACTTCCTGAGAATAAGAATTATAGTGATGAATGCAATTAGAATATCTTGAAATATTTTATTTATATGAACATTATAATTTAGAAACTCAAAAGCAACCTTTTTAAGCCCTTTAAAAAAAGCTCATCCCATAATTTCCAGTGTTTCTTATATTGTCTGTCCTGGTGGACTAGATCATTAGTTTTCTATTCCTCAATCTCACACCTTGACCTGTGACCTTAATTCCATCCCACATTGCCCCAGGCTCAGAAATAGGCTTCTTCAGGGGCTGGGAAGGTGGCTCAGTGGTAGAGCACTTGCCTTGCATGCCTGAGGCCCTGGGTTCGATTCCTCAGCACCACATAAGCAAAAAGAAAAAAGCCGGAAGTGGCGCTGTGGCTCAAGTGGTAGAGCGCTAGCCTTGAGCTGAAGAGCTGAGGGACAGCGCCCAGGCCCAGAGTTAAGGCCCCACGACCGGACCCAAAAAAAAAAAAAGAAAGAAAGAAAAGAAATAGGCCTCTTCAGAAACTAAAATCCACTGGAGGTATACAGCTTGTCCATTTACAAAGCTCACTAAAATCTCCAGGGTAAAATTGGGGGGAAAAATCACATTGTGTAATCTACTTCCTTTTGAGGTACCATCAACTGTTAAGCAGCTCAGTGTTTAAGTAACCAGCCCTCCACTGGATGGGAGTCAGAGAGAGAATATGGCTTCCAATTAGAAATACTCCCACAATGGCAAAATTCAAGCTACTAACAGTAATTCTCTAAATGCACAGTTGGGAAGAGATACACAGAATCAGATCATTATGTGGCATTTTTGACATAAATATAAGTGATGTCATGAACTTTCACCTTAAGAGCTAATTGTTTGAATAACATGGAAATAATGAATTCTGAAAATGCATTGCATTTGAATACAATTTATTTCATTGGAAGCTGAATCTAGCACCCAATATTCAAAATACTTTTTTTTTTTTTTTTTTTTGGTCGGTCCTGGCGCTTGAACTCTGGGGCCGGCACTGTCCCTCAGCTCTTCAGTTCAAGGTGAGTGTTCTACCACTTAACTACAGCACCACTTCCAGTTTTCTGGTGGTTAATTGGAGATAAGAGTCTCACAGACTTTCCTTGCCCAGGCTGGCTTTGAACCGCGAGCCTCAGATCTCAGCCTCCTGAGTAACCAGGATTACAGGAGTGCACCACCAGCACCTGGCTTCCTCTGTATTCTTATACATCATAAGTACATTTCCCTTTGAATCTCAATAGGAGACAAATCTCTGCTGATATATTTAAACTCTTACAAGGCAAGATATACCTGATAGTCTCTGCATTTTTAAATGTAATAGGTGATTTTCACTGGGATTAAGACCTTTTAGAAGATTGTTTGGCAAAGTTTCAAAGTTGGTGCTGGGTAGTAAGTAAGTGAGTATATCTCAAAAAAAAAAAAAAAAAAGACAGAGCTGAGGCTTTTTATTTCAACAAACAAAACTCAACAGCAATGAAAACAAAGATAATGAGCACAACCCCGCTAATGTTTCTATTAATGTACTTGCTGCCCACTAATATCTTCAAAAAAAATGTAAGAATGTGGATAGTAAGGGGAAACAAATGCTTGATAAGAAATGGACTCATTACCTTGCTCATGTTAATTGTAACCCCTCGTATGGTATTTTCACTATAAAAATAGATAAATTTTTTTTTTTTTTGGTCCAGTTGTGGGGCCTGAACTCTGGGCCTGGGCACTGTCCCTCAGCTCTTCAGCTCAAAGCTAGCGCTCTACCACTTGAGCCACAGCGCCACTTCCGGCTTTTTACTTTTTGCTTATGTGGTGCTGAGGAATCGAACCCAGGGCCTCATGCATGCAAGGCAAGCGCTCTACCGCTGAGCCACCTTCTCAGCCCATAAATAATTTTTTAAATGTAAGAATGTTTTTAATTTTATGTGACCAAAAGATCTATTTCATATGAATGTCACAGATTTCTTATAAGTTTCAGTCCTACACTGTCTCATAGAAAACCATGCTCATAGGGAAAGAAAACATACAACTTTAAAATACTGATATCTGATTTGAACTCAAATGCTACTTAACTCGGTGCGGCTTGATTTCATTACTGAGGAATATTTATAACACATTGAAGAAGCTGGATTTTACCCAAATATGAATGGATCCATATCTTAAATAAAATATCCAGAGACTTGCTGCCATTTTCTGCTTTCCTCTGCCCCTCACAATAGAGTAAGAAGCAGTACCTGTAGTGTCATGAGACACTTATTAGTTGACCACTCTGATATTTGTAAAGGAGAAATGGGGAGCCAGCCTTTCCCAGTTCCTCATAAATGGCTTTCATATGAAGGACACACCAGTTATGGGAGGAGGGGAGGAGAAAGTTATTGAAGTGGTGTATTTTAGAGTTTCATTTGCAAAAGTAACTTCCAGATTATAAGAGGTTAATGGGAGAGCAGGTGATGATGTCATATAAGTAATGTAGCCTGTGAAGGGAATTTGATCACAAAACAATACAACAAAGTGATAATTGGGTGAAAATTAGTTACAGAATAAAGGTCCTTTCATCAAGATATGTCAGCAGACATAGGGGTACCGGACCATTGGGCACACGTAGGCATCGGGGAGCAAAGGACCCTTCAAGGTTAAATTCTAACTGAGTTGCAGAGCCTCTTCTAAGACTTTCTAGTCTCTGGACCCCAAGAATCTAATTCACTCTTGCTAAGTGTGCTATGGGTCTTTTTAATGGAACTTTACCCTTATGCTTTTTTCCTCTTCCTTTAGCATGTCTTCCAAACTGGTAGCTTTTTCTTCTACACTCATGGTTTTCTCAGTTATCATGTCTAATTTTCTTTTTACAATCTGATTATGATTTCTTATTTTGTATAACCTAAACAGGTGTGTGAAGAAAAGACAGAAAACGTGTACACACTATTAAATGCAAGCAAAGAAAGTTGATTCTTAAAATCGTTTATATAATCTTTTGCTGTTAACATTTTGATTATCACTACATATCTCAGAGGCCCTAAAACAGTGCTCTTGAGACCTTGTGATAAAAATGACAGGAAAATTATAAAACAAGGTTTTAACAAGTTAAGAAAGAAAGTTAAGAAAGACTAATGTGCCAGGTGGCTCACATGTGTAATCCTAGTGATTTGAGGATCCCGGTTCAAAGCCAGCCCAGGCAAGAAAATTCATGAAACTCTTATCTCCAATTAATCACAGATAAAGCTGTAAGTGGCACTATGGCTCAAGGCTAGAGCACTAGCCTTGAACAAAAGCAGTTAAGGGACAGTGCCCAGACCCAGAGTTCAAGCCCCATGACCAGCTCCCATCCCCCCAAAAAGACTAATGTTAAGTGTTTAGTAGCTTTCTACAGGTAGTTAAAAAATTTAAATAAGCTGGGTACTCATAGTTCATGCCTATAATCCTAGCCACTGAGGAGACTGCGATCTGAGGACCACCATTCGAAGCCATTCTAGCCAGGAAAATCCACAAAACTACTATTTCCAATTATCTAGCAAAAAGTCAGATGTAGAAGTATGGCTCAAGTGGTAGAGCACTACCTGTTTTCTCTAATCAAGAGAAAGTCAAGAACCTGAGGCTCTGAGTTCAAGCCCCAGAATCAGAATGAACAAAAATTTAAATAGTTCTTTCCTTACCTTGCTGTTTCTTCCTGAATATCTTTCTTTATTTTAGAAGAATGTTTTCTCAGAGCTTGTAACTCACTGGACGTTCTATTCACGGTGGCTTTTAAAGAATCCAGCTGGTTGTTAGTTAATAGACAAAAATTATATATTTATTCTATATCTTATAGAACAATTGCATTTCTGAAAAGTTTTATTCTGAAACATCGTAGATATCACATCCATAAAAAACAGTAACTTTGTCTGAGTCAAGCAGAAAAGGTCAGATAAGTTGATGTTAGGGCAATGAACCCTAAGATATTTATTCAAATGTTTTTTTCTTTCATGCGATTGTTTCTAACACATTTATAAGATTATTTCTTTGTTGCTTTGTATGTCCCTCCCCCACAGTATAACCCCTGCTTTCACTGTATTTGATGGTGTTATAATTTGTGGAGGGGAAGGAAAAAAACAAATAGTTTAAATAGGGATACAGGTGGACCCATTGCAACAATGAGACGTACTCGTTACGTCGAAAACTTTACAACTTTGGTGGGGGGGGGGGGGGAAGGGGAGGGGGAAAGGCTGGGTGGGAGTGCCGGGGGAGGATGGGATGGGAAGGGGAAACAAAGGAGGAGGCTACAATGTTTGATAAGAAATGTACTCATTATCTTGCCCATGTAATTGTAACCCCTCTGTACAGTATTTTTACAATAAAAAACAGTAACTTTTTATAGTTAATGTATATATTTATAGATGTTCTCAGTCTCACATCATATTTTAAATGGCTTTGTTGTCTAATGCCAGAAGACTGTAAAGACCTACAAATATGTGTTGGAAGGGAATACAGAAGTGTTCGATGTCACTAGATGTGCTCAGGAAGATTCACAATAAACTAATGACTAGGTATATGACTTAAGTGGTAGTGCACTTGCCAAGCAAGTGGGAAACACAGAATTCAAACCCCAGGACTGAAAAAAGAAAGGATCTTTTGTAAGATAGATTGATATATATGAAAAAGATGCTCAAGAAAATCTTAAGTACTACAGGATATGAAAAGTTTCAAGAGATTCAAATACTTCATCCTCCTAACTACAACATCCTCCTTCTAGAACATGGTTTACAATTAAACTAAATTAAATTGTTAACACAAAGCATTAAGACATGAATTGTCTCATTGATTAAAAAAGTTTGTGGGGGCTGGGAAGGTGGCTCAGTGGTAGAGCGCTTGCCTTGCAAGCCTGAGGCCCTGGGTTCGATTCCTCAGCACCATATAAGCAAAAAGAAAAAAGCCGGAAGTGGTGCTGTGGCTCAAGTGGTAGAGCGCTAGCCTTGAGCTGAAGAGCTGAGGGACAGCGCCCAGGCCCAGAGTTCAGGCCCCAAGACTGGACCCAAAAAAAAAAAAAGTTTGTGAAATCTATGGTGGGATTTGGGGGTGGGGAGTAGAGTGGCTCAACTGCTTGCCTAACCTGAGCTCAAACCCCAAAAACTTCTAAAAAAATGAAGATCTTGTGAAAAAGAAAAAAAAATGCAGGAGATAAAAATAAGCATATAAAAACACTCATTTCATATACTAACAATGTACCATCTAAAAAAGAAAAAATTTTAAGTCTAAGCTACAATAGAGACAAAAACAGTAGGATACTTAGGATTAAGTTTAAACAATGAAATAAAAAATTTATGTACTGAAAACTACAAAATTTTGATAAAAGAAATTAGAGATAACACAAGTAAATGGGAAGAAAACCTATTGCATGAACTGGAAAAATAACTCTGCTAAAGTGTTGAAACTGTCAGCTATCTATAGATTCAAAACAGCCCCACCAAAATCTCAATTTCATTCTTTTCAGAAGTAGGAAAAAATATCCTAAATAAACTCCAAATAGCTAAAGCAATCTTGACCAAGAAAAACAAAAGGTAATCATACTTCTTCTGTATGATAAAGTTAGAAATCAAATTACTTGCATAAAAGCTGACATATGCACCAATGGAACAGAATAGATAAACTATAAATAAATCCAAATACAAAGGGTCAACTAATTTTTGAAAAAGGCACCCAGAATTAAAAATAGGGAAAGAGGGCTGGGAAGTTAGCTCAGTGGTAGAGCGCTTGCCTTGCATGCCTGAAGCCCTGGGTTCGATTCCTCAGCACCACATAAGCAAAAAGAAAAAACCTGGAAGTGGCGCTGTGACTCAAGTGGTAGAGCGCTAGCCTTGAGCTGAAGAGCTGAAGGACAGTGCCTAGGCCCAGAGTTCAGGCCCCACGACCGGACCCAAAAAAAAAAAAAAATAGGGAAAGAATAGACTGAACAAAACATTTTTCTAAAGAAGATATCAAATAGGCAATGGGAAAATGAGAAGGTATGCAACATCATTAGTTTTCAGGGAAATGCAAAAATTCAAAAACCAGATGTAAGAACTTGAAGACCTGAATACAAAATTCAGCAACTTAGATGAGAAATTCGTCCAAAAGAGATAGTCGGGGTTGGGGGTGGGGGAGCCAATAGGAAAATCAGGAAACAAAAAGCTCAATAATGCAATTTCTAAAATTAATTAAAAATGTCACCAGTAAACAAAGCTAGGCAAAAGAAAGAATATCAGGAATTGAAGTTCAAGTTGAGGAATGATTGCATTCAGTTATCAATAGAAAAAAAAAACAATCATAGCCACTACATCCAAGATCTCTGAGTCTTGGTTAAAAGATCAAATCTATGAATCTATGGTAGAGATGCTGGAAGGGAAATACTGACTAAAGGCACAGAAAACTTATTTGATAAAATAACTCCAGAAAATTTCCCAAATCTAAGGAGATAAATGGTCATCCACATATGTGGGGCACTAAAACCTCAAATAAAATGAAGGCAGAAAAGAACACATACATGATATATGATACTTAAAACACTAAGAATATATATCAATAGAATACTGAAATCTGCAAGAAAGAAACATCAAGTTGCTTACAAAGGCAAATTCATCAAAATAAAGCAGACAGCTTAGCAGAAATCCTAAAGGCCAGGAAAGTATGTGTTGACTTATTTCAAACAAGATAATGGTCATCCAACACTACTATATTCAGTAAACTTATCTTTTAAAACAGAAGAAAAATAAAGATTTTCCAAAAGAAGCATAAAAAAAACTAACTAATCCATGTCTACTAAGCCAGTACTGCAGAAAATACATAAATAAAGATGAGGGAGAAAAATATGCACATGCATAAGAACTTGAGAAAATAAATCTCACTAGAACAATAGACAGAGATATGAGAAGTAGAAAAGAATCAAACATTATTAACTCAGTGAAGCAACACACCTTTAAGATGAAGGGAGAAATTTGTAGATACTTCTCAATAATAACCCTGCATGCAACCCATAAATCAGTTCATCCTTGATAAAGATGTGAAAACTCTCAGTAGCTCAGTAAGTGAAAAAATACAGAAAAATAACTTTGACGGAATCAAACATTGCTTAATGATAATAACTCTAAAGAAACTAGAAATGGAAACACTTTTAGCTTCCATTATACTAAGTGAGAAAAAAAACTGAAAGCATTTCCTCTAAAATCAGGAATGAAGAATATAGTGTTTTAATTCTTAATCAAAGAAATAAGGCACAAAAAAATAAAAGGAATGAATCCCAGAAAGGAAGAAATCAAGTTATCCTTACTTGAAGATAATGTAAAACCAACATATTGCAGGACTTTGGCAGCTCAATCTGTAGTCTTAGATACACAGAAAACTGAGATTTGAGGATTGATGTTTGAAGCCAGGTTGGGCAGGAAAGTCAATGAGATTCTTATCTCCTATTAACTACCAAAAAGCCAGAAGTGGATCTATAGCAGTGCACTAACCTCCAGCAAACAAACAAACAAAATGCTCAGAAACAGCACTCAGGCCCTGAGTTTAAGCCCCAGGACCAGCATATACAATACCCAAAAAAACCAACACATTGATTTGGTAGTTTTTCTTTTTATCAGTTATGAGAATGCTGAGAAAGAATTTGAGAAAACAATTCCAACTATAATCGCCTCAAAATATTACATAGGAATAAATCTAATAAAGAAAATAACTCTAAAATAAAGATTATATATTGAATAACTTGGACAACAATAAAAGATAACCGACCTTCCATGTTCACAAATTGACAGAATATTCAGATGTCTAAATAACAAAAGTGATCTACAGATCCAATTCAATCCCCAATAAATTCCAATATCATTTCATAATACTAAAATTCATATGGATATTCAAAAGACCCCAAAGCAATCCTGAGCAAAGAAGAGCAATACTATAGGTAACTAACTTTAAATTACACTACACACAGCCAGAATAATAAAAACAGCATGGCCGGAAGTGGCTGTGGCTCAAGTGGTAGAGCGATAGCCTTGAGCTGAATAGCTCAGGAACAGCACCCAGGTCCAGAGTTCAAACCCCACAACTGACTCCCTCCCCCCACCAAAAAAAAAGTTTATCTATAAAAACAGCATGGCATTAACAGATAAATAGACACATAAACCAGTGGAACAGAATAGAGGACTCAGAACTAAACACACATAGCTACAGACACTTGATTCTCAATATAGATGCCAGAAATAAATGTTGGAGAAAAGACGGCTTCCTTGACAAATGGTGTTGGGTAAACTGGCTATCTATAAGTAGAAGACTGTATAAAATCAACTCAAATTGGATCAAAGATCTTACTGTGAGACTTGAAACTTTGAAACTACAATAGAAAAAACTCAGAGAAAACACTTCAAGATCTAGGCATAGGCAACTACTTTCTGAAGAGGATTCCAAAAGCTCAAGAAATAATAGCAAATTTTAACAAATGAGACTTAGTGAAATTACAAAGCATCTGCACATTAAAGGAAACAATTACCAGAGTGAAGAGATGGCCTACAGAAAATCTGTGTAGCTATTACTATTCCTTTGAAAAAGGGTAATTATCAAGAATATACAAAGAACTAAAAAAATTTAACAGCAAAGGAACAACTAATCCAATGTCGGCAAGTGAATTAAACAGGCAGGTCTCAAAAGAAGAAGTACAAATGGCAAATACATAAGAAGTGTTCAGGAAGTAGAACTGCTCAAAGTGGTAGAGCATTAGCCTTAGAGCATTAGCTGGCTGAGGCCAGCACCCAGGCCTTGAGTTCAAGGACAGTCAGGACAGTCACAAGAAAAAAAATTCAACAACCTTAGCCTTAAAGAAAATATCATAATGACAATGAGATTCCATCTTACCCAGATCAGCGTGACAATCATCAAAAACCAACCAACCACAAATGCTGCCAAGGATGTAAGGAGAAGGAACACTTATACACTATAGGTGGGCATGGAATTTAGTATAGCCACTATGGAAATCAGTATGGAAGTTCCTCAAATAATTAAAATAAAACTACCATATGTGACCCAGTCACACAGTTCTGGGGAATAAACTCAACGGAATCTAAGTCGGCATACACTAAAGACAGTTGCATAGTCATATTTATTGTGGAACTATTCACAATAGCCAATATGGAGCCATAAACTTGGTGCCCCTTATCTGATAATGGACAAAGGAAGCATGATATATACATACAACAGAGTTTTATCTAGGAAAGTAAGCTAGACTCAGGAAGACAATCCCACATGTGTTAGATCTTTAAAAAGACATGAAAGTTGGGGCTGGGAAGGTGGCTCAGTGGTAGAGCGCTTGCCTTGCATGCCTGAGGCCTTGGGTTCGATTCCTCAGCACCACATAAGCAAAAAGAAAAAAGCCAGAAGTGGAGCTGTGGCCCAAGTGGTAGAGCGCTAGCCTTGAGCTGAAGAGCTGAGGGACAGCGCCCAGGCCCAGAGTTCAGGCCTCACGACCGGGCCCCCCCCCCCCCCCCCCCCCCCCCCCCCCCCCCCCCCCCCCCCCCCCCCGCCAAAAAGAAGACATGAAAGTAGAAGATTACTCAGGAACAGAAAGGTAATCAGCAAGAGGGGGCAGGGAGAACTTAATGGTGGAGAAAATAGGACCAAAATAATTACATTCATGTATGAAAACATCGTAATGAATCTTAACATTTGGTACAATTAACATACATTGCCAAAATGTAAAAGTAACCCGCATATATCTGATAAGTAGTTAATCTCCAAAATATAAATTTATATAACTCATAGCAACAATAACAAAATAATAACACAATTTAAAACTGAATAAAAACCTAAATAAACTTTTTTTTCAAGTAAGAGATCAAATGGAAAGCAAGTATATGAAAAAAAAAGCCACTAATCATCTGGAAAATGTAAATCAAATGATAACCACATCTATGTTAAGATAGTTATTATCAAAAAGTCAAAAATAACTGCTGGCAAAGTTACAGAGAAAATGTTAGCATATCCTCTTTCATTTTGACTTGACACCCTCCATCTTAGGTCCTTAGCCCTTTCCTGAAATCAGGTGACCAGAGAAGACCAGACATTAACTCCCAGCCTCCACAGATAACCTCCAGCCACAGTTGCAGTAGCTGAATACCTTCAGCCCAGAGCTAACCCCCCGCCCTTCCATTCCTAGCCCCTGGCCCTATAAAGCTATCCCTGTTGCAAGACAACCATTGCTTGTGTTGCACCTAGTTGAGAAGACACAACATTGTTATCCCTCTAGTTGGTGTCCACGTGCTGAAGTCCATCTTCCATTGGATATTGCTGGCAGGAATGTAAAGTATATAGTCATTATGAAAAGCAGTATGGAAGGTCCACAAAAAATGAAAAATAGAACAACATATTCAAGTAGTCCTACTTCTGAGTATCTATTCAAAGGAAATAAAATTGTATGTCAAAGAAATATCTGAATTGCCACGTTCTTTACAGCACTATTCATGATAGCCATGAGAGGGAAAGCACCCAAGTGTTCATAAACATATGAATGGATAAAGAAAATACAATGTTCATACCTACATAATGGACATAATGGAATATTAAATATTGTTAAATATTCTTCCTTTAAAAAGGAAATACTCCTTCCATTTGCAATAACATGGGTAAACTTTGAAGGTATTGTATTACTTGAAATAAGCTAGACACAGAACTAGAAATGATGCATGATTTCACTTAAGATATGGAATCTGAAAGTTAAAAAAACAGATCAAGCCCACCATTAACCATAATGGTGATTACTAGAGAAGAGATAATTGTCAAAATGCATAAATCTTTAGTTACAAGATAATAAGTTCTCAAAATCTACAGTACAACATGTATAACCATAATTGTATACTTGAAATGGTTTAAGAGAATGAATGCTTTAATATACACCAATTGTATAAGGGGGTTTCACTGCCATATTTCCGGAGATGTGTACAAGTTCCCCCTTCTTTTATATTCCCTCAGGCCCTCTCCCTTCACCCTTCCCCTTCTCAAACATATTTTAGTGGATTTCATTATGCTGTCTTTGTATGTGTATACTTTAATCACATTCACCCCTGGGATTTTTCTCCTTCTTCCTCCCCACCTACCTCCCCTCCTCCCTTCCTGTTAATACCCCTTCCCCCAAGACAGTCTACCTTTATGGTTAGGTCCTAAGGAATAGATTGTTAAGTATTCTCACCACTGAAAAATATTACTATGAGGTAATCGTGATTGTTTCATGATAACCATTTCACATCATATAGACCTCATATTTTACAGCTGAATATATATATAATTTTTGTTTTTCAGTAATACCCTCAATAAAGCTAGCAAAGGGAAATGTATTTTTTAATACATAACATAATGAAGACATTACCTATCCCAACATAAGACTGAGCCTCTAATATACTAATAAGTAAAATATTTCCAAAATAGCTGGAGCCATTGGCTCACATTGCAATTCTAGCCTCTCAGGAGTCTGAAACCATCCCAGGAAGGAAAGTACACAACACTCCGTCTCCAAAATAACTAGCAAAAAACATCCAAAAAACAAAAATCAAAAACACACTGTACTGGGGCTGGGAAGGTGACTCAGTGATAGAGCACTTGTCTTGCATGCATGAGGCCCTGGGTTCGATTCTTCAGCACCACATAAGCAGAAAAAAAAATCTGGAAGTGGCACTGTGGCTCAAGTGGTAGAGTGCTAGCCTTGAGCTAAAGAGCTGAGGGACAGCGCCCAGGCCCAAAGTTCAGGTCCACGACCTGACGCCCCAAAAAACAAAAAACAAAAACACTGTACTGAAGGTATGGTTCATAAGCAAGCAATCCTAGCTTCCGTGAGGGCGTCAGTTCAAGCCCTGGAATTGGCAAAAACAACAATTACTCATTTTCATATAAAACCTTGAATGTTCTCCGTGATCCTATTCAAAATACTTCAAAAAGTAGAAACTACTAAATATTCATCCCACTGACAAATGTGTAAACAATGAGGTACATCCATAAAAAATGAAGCACATGCTATAACCTAGATGAAGCTCGAAAATGCTACACTCAAGGACACAAACGCTACAGAGTACATGATTTAATTCATATGAAATGTTCAGATTAGGCCAAACTGTAAAGATAGAAAGTCAACTAGTAGTTGTCAAGGTTGGGAGAAGGATAGACTGGAAGTGACTAAAAAAGGGACATGGAATTTGGGAAGGAGATGAAAAAACAGTCTAATATTAGTTAGTGGGTGATGTTTCCGCAACTACACTAATCTTCTAAAAACCACTGACGTGTATATTGTAAAAGGATAGATTATGGTACATAAATTATAGCTCAATAAGTGGAAAGAATCCATCAATCACTATGGCTTTTTTCTGCAACTAGTTTAAGTTCTGGAAGCTTAAAGAAATGATCTATCAAGAGTGACATACAATTTAAGTAAGAAATTATCTATTTTTCAGATCCTATACTAAAAAAATAGAAAATAAACAGTCCAGCAGAGGTCAAAAGTATAATGACTTATAGAATGAAATGGTCTGTAATGTTCTGAGTTTCTATCTTCATAATGGTTAAGTTCAGATAATTGTGGCCTTCAAAACAAATTTCATAAAGATCACTTTATTGCCAAGGGAATCACTTCCTCTCTAATTGACACATATCTCCACAAAAGAACAAGACAGATTTGTCTTCTTGTTTTGTTCCAAGGTGTTTTACCACATTACCCTACTAGCCAACTGAAATACTGTCCCATAACAAAGTTAAGAAAGCTTGATCCCATGATACCAAGAGAATCTGAAAGGTAGAAATCACATTTGTTTGTAGACTACTCAGAAGACACTGCAAGTGATTGCTCACTGTATTATTCGCCTGTCCGCTGGCCATTAGGATTTCCCATCAAGATAAATTGGTAGCATTTAGCCTCAAGTCCCTCACAGGATACCATATCTAGCAGGAGTGCTGGATACTGCACAACTCCAAGGGGGCTCACTGGAGCATCCTAAAAGCTCCAGAACAAGGAATTACAAAAGACAAACAAACAAACGAGTTAGAAGAGGGTTCCTTAGTCAAAGGAAAGGCATCATACTATGGCTATTGTAATATCATGATAAACACACAAACCAGTCTTTGTAATTGGACGTACCTCATCCTTCAGCTGACTTCTATTCGTTTCATGTTGCTGGTATTCTATTCTACATTTTAACACTTTACGGTCAGCAGCAGCAATCCTTTTCTCATACTCTATGTTATTTCCAACCTCATTCTCTAAAAACTTGATCTTTTGTTTAACCAAATTTTCTTTTTCTCGTATTTGCTGTTTTATGTTTGCTAATGCCTAGGATTGAAACACACATGTTCATTTAAATATTTTCATATAAAAACCCTGAATGAAATTAAGTTTTTTTTTATTTTACCATTAGTAGGTTCAACACTCATTAGGCAAAAACTTTTTAAGAGAAATGTTTTAAAGAGAGACTATTCAATGAATAAATACAAATTATTAATATGCTTACACCAACATCTATAAATTCATATTGTCCAAGGTCTCTGTATTCATTTTTATCAATTTGAACTTTACTAAAGTATTGAAACAAACAAGTAGGCTTTTATGAATGAAGGGTAAGACCCTAAAATGTAATCGAGTTATTTGTCATATACAGATTTGGGTTTCAGTGAAAATTCCCAAATATTTTACAGAGTAGTATTTTTCATCTTTTGAAAGTAAAACTTTACTAGGAGTGGTGGTTCATGCCAGGACCCCAGTGCTCAGGAGGCTGAGGCAGGAGGATGTTGAGTTTGAGTCTAGCTTGGGTTATATTTTAAGACCCCATCTCAAAAAGCAATTATTTTAATTTCAATAGTAATATCTTCATATAGGCTTCTTTTTCTGGTCTTAAAGATACAATAATAAATAAAATGCCAAAGTATTGTAGCTGAAATGTAAACAAAGTATTTTTGGATACAAAGAAGTAGTGAAATCTACCCAAGAGAAGTTACTAGACATTTGAGGTAGTATGTAAGTCAGAACTACAAAAATGAATAGCAATGTTTGTTTGGATGTGGTTAAAGCACAGGGCATTGGGCAAGGGGAGAATATACATATTGGAAAGGCAGGACTTAAGACAAAACTGTAAAAAATTCAAATGCCATGTTAAACAGGCCCAACTTTCTTCTTTTTGTGGTGCTGAGGATCAAACTGAGGACATGGTGCATGCTAGGCAAGCAGTCCCCAACTGAGCTACATGCCCAACCCTTGAGAGGCAACTTGTAAGCACTGTGAAACAAAGAGTTTACAAAAGGGAAATGAAAAGATCAGAGGAGGTTTTCACAAGTGACTGCTCTGGGAGGCAAGAGATTTGGTTAATTACAAGGAGAAATTAACCTAAACCATACTTCTTTTCAGTTTTCCCACATGGGATCCTACCAAACAACTAATCCTAGGAAACTGGAGGAGGGATAATGTGTTCTGAAACAGGTAAATTTTTGTAAAATTGTATATAACATCATATATACAGGTATATCAAATGAATATATATGAGCTATTACAATGTCGTGTATAGCAAATGATATTCTAATACTAGCATTTTACATAATTATTGTGCTTATTCAACCAAAGGCACATTGAAGCTTCCTAAATTTAATTAAAATTACCATTCTCAAGTTCTACATCATATTGATTTTTCTGCTACTTTGACAGATGCTTTAATATCTACTTGTTTCTTTTCTTTCTTTGTTCTGGTCCTGGGGTTTGAACTCAGGGCCTGTGTGCTGTCGCTGAGCTTTTTTTGCCCAGTGGTAGTACTCTACTAATTTGAGCTACATACCCATGTCAAGTTTCTAGGTAGTTAGTTGGAGATAAGAGTCTCATGGCCTTTCCTGCCAAAGTTGGCTTCCAACTGCTATCCTGAGATCTCAGCCTCCTGAGTAGCTAGGATCATAGGCATGAGCCAACAGCACCTGACTAAATTTTTTAACAGGGCCATTCATGTTTAACTTTTCATATAGATGATGCTTATAAGTAATATTCTAACATTATTACACTAGAATAAAAATACAATAGGAAAATTTTACTCCTATTCTCAACATTGTTTCAGGATTGTATGGGCCCACTCTTGCCTGCCATGCAGGCACTGAGAGGGTAAGTGCCATTTTGGAGGAGGAGAGACCAAAGAGCACAGTTTCAGCAACAAAGGACTAAACTACACCACACCAAAATATGCTCCCTTCAGGACAGCGAACATTTTGAGTGAAAGGCACTTAAAAAAACAGCAAAACCCCAGGATACTCTAATCTTCCTTGTGTTTTTTATTCTCTTTCTCTATGAAAGCAAAAGATAAAACTCCTATATTCTGATAGATTCTCCTATACCAGGAGAAAGTTTGATATCTTTATCACCAGAGGCACTGAGTCAAGGTCAAAAGAGATTTGGACAAGCAAATCTTGTTAAACCCTTTCTCTTCTTAGTTACTTTCCCACAATTGTCCCTAGGCTCAACCCTAATAGCACTTAGCCGAACCACTTCTTTGAGTGATTTTTCTTGTGAGGGCTCCCTCTATTTGTGTAAATGATATGCAGACATTTTTTTGCTATTAATCTGTTTTGCATCATTGTGATGGTATGAAGTCACTCTCATTGACTCACAAAAACTGATTTTTATATCTCTTCTCAACTTTGGGTTCAGTGATGTCACATTGGTTGTGGGTATCATTGTACCACAGAAATCAGGAAGGCAAGGTCTGAGGAATTGTATTTACTTTCCCTTCTTTTTCTTTTTGTCTTTAGAGGACAGTTGTTCAACTCTTAGAAGCATCCCTTTGCTAAAAGAAACCAGTTCTTGGCATTTGTCCTATGACAGATAGCTACTAGTTTTTCTTTCTTTCAGATCAACAATTTGACTCAGTGAGAAATCAGAGGGCAATGCTGTCCTTTGGCAGATCTGATTCCCACAGAAGCAGCAGTCAGAACTTCATGTATGAAATTAAGAAGACCACATAGTAATGTTGGTTCTATGGGAATGGGGGCATCCAATTTTGTCAGTAAGACATTGGTTTCTTGCAGAATTTTAAACTACAAGAATCACAAGCAAATCATATCCAGATTTCTAAACTCTCAGAATTCTAAATTCCTAGTCACCTTTGCTGCTTGCCTTTTCAGGGAGTAGATTCAGAATAGAACAGCTTGTTTGTTTTTTCCTCCTCAATTTCTTCTTCTCCTCACTCACCTCCTCCTCATGGTCTCACTTTTAGTCCCTATTATTCAATTGCTTAGTGATCTCCCTAAAATATTCTCCTCAATTATCCTTGAACTTAACAAGTGAGAATACTATGTGTTGCCACTGTACTGTCCTCTCCCTATCTGAGCTTTTGTATCACTGTATCACTTCAAAAGTGAGACTCTACAACAGTCTAGGGATTGTTTTCTGACTCTCCTCTCCTGTCAAAATGTGTGACTTACTTCCAGATAGCATATTTGGGTAAATCTAAGGCATTATGGTAATCATGTGTAAGTTAGGGTATCGGTTTTACTTCAGTAGTATTTGTTCCATAATTCAGAGTTGGGAGGATCCAACTGGGAACTGTAATAAATAATAAGTATTAAGTAGATAATCTTCATAAGTAGATAATCTTCATAAAGTTGCATTACTAAATGTGACTTTCGATTCAGCTCTGAAAAACATTTATCAAAACTATTCAATTCTGTTTCAAAAAAATGACTTGCAAATGACAGTGTGATTTACATTTGAAATAATGACTTAAATAGACAGAATACAAATACAGCTGAACATTACAAGAAACAAACTACTTTACCAAGGCACATTTGTCTATGTCTCCATCCCTCTTCTGCATCTGCTCTACTGTGTTCTCCCATTGTTTAATGAGTTCTTGTCTTTCACTGTGAATCTTACGAAAATCTTGCGCTGCTTTATCCAATTGTAACTGTCAAATGGAAAGCAAATAACATCTCTGTCATTTTAAGTAATTTTCACCATTTCCTTCAAGATTAAGAAATGAAAATCTACACTAAACCAACCTGAGCACTTAAAGTCTCTGTAAGTTCATTGTCAAGAATCTTTCTTTTCTGATGACATTCCAAAGTTAGTCTTTCTAATTTCAGAGTCAGTACCTATGATATAATTAGAAAATATTTATTATCAATTTATTAACTTAAAAGCTACTAGGTAGCATATCTAATGTTAAACATTATAATAATATATAAGCATTTATTTCATGTGTAGTAATAATACAATTTCTTATATTTTAATCCCAAAGGACTGATGTAATGTTTGCATACAACTTTATGCAAATTAACTTGTTTCTAAAGTGATTGTTAATAGTTTTAAAGTAAATTTTTAAAAAGGAGATTAAGCCAGGCACCAGTGGCTCACGCCTGTAATCCTAGCTACTCAGTAGGCTGAGATCTGAGGATCGCGGTTCAAAGCCAGCTCGGGCAGGAAAGTTCGTGAGACTCTTATCTCCAATAAACCACTAGAAAACCGGAAGTGATGCTGTGGCTCAAGCGGTAGAGCGCTTGCCTTGAGCTGCCAAGAGCTGAGGGGCAGCACCCAAGCCTAGAGTTCAAGTCCCATGACCGACAAAAAAATAAAAATGAGATTAAATTTCAATTTATTTGAAAATACTTAAAATAATAATTCTATACAATCAGCTAGAAATGTCATGTTTAATGATAATAACTTTATTAGTATTACCAGATATGTGTAGACTTTTATTGATGGCTATGATATCAGTCAATACTACAGTCCCTAATTAGCAAAAAAACTACAGTAATATCCAACCTATACTTGAAACAAAACTGCTCAATACCAAAACATAGTTCTAGTACAAAATTTTTATTTGAAATACTTTCAAGAATCTGTCTAAATCAGAATATCTTTAACTTGGAGTCACACATAGATCCCTGATTGGTCAAAATGCTTCAGTGGCTCTGCATAATCAATTCAGCAAATTTTCTTCTTATTTTTATCGTTAAGTACTTGTGCAAAGGAGTATAAATTCAACATGTTAGTTTGTGGAGTACAATGCATCTTGATCAATGTTAGCAAAATTTTATGTATATTTGAGTACAGTCATGTTTTTCTATACAGAGGGTACTTGGCTTTAATGGATTTTCAAAGGGGTTCCAAACCTACACCCCAAAAAAGTTAATAACTGCTGCTTTAAAAAAATCAATACGAATAATTTTAGGTTTAAAAAGTTGACCTACTATAGATTCAGAGAAAACACTGTACAGTTTTTTTACCCTAATCTTGTTATCATCCTGTTGTGAATACTTCTGCAAAGTGAGGGCGTCGCTGTCTTTATGAGCTGATTCTTCTAGCCAGGCCTCCAATGCTTGCTGGTCCCAGTTCATTTGACATTTCAAACCATCCAATTTTTGAGTAGCCTTAAATATGCTACTCTAATTTCCAAGGAACACAAGAGAAAGGCAGATTATAAAATATTATTTGCTATACAAATTAAAGTAAAATATAACATTATATACTACAGAACATATTAAGAAGAAATCTTGTCCCTGCATTTCAGATGTATTATATACCATATTTCAATGTACATAATTATCAGCTTTATATTTCAATTCTTTAGGGTAAAATAGTGAGGAGACAGTTTACAAACTTGAGAACAGTAATTGAATCAAACAGTTTCTTTAAAAGACTTCAGAGGGCAGGGAGGATGGCTCAGTGGTAGAGTGCTTGCCTTGCATGCATGAGGCCCTGGGTTCAATTCCTCAGCACCACATAAGCAGAAAAAGCCAGAAATGATGTTGTGGCTCAAGTGGTAGAGCACTAGCCTTGAGCTGAAGAGCTGAGGGACAGCGCCCAGGCCCAGAGTTCAGGCCCACGACTGATGGAAAAAAAAAAAAAAAAGACTTTAGGTAGGCCCAGTTTGGTGGCTTACACATATACTCCCAGCTACTCAGGAGGTAAAGATATACTAGGTCATAGTTCAGAACCATTCTAGGCAAAAAGTTAGCAAGTCTGTAAATTGATCTCAGACCACCCTAGTGTGAGCAAAAATACAAGACTCACCCTATCCCAAAAATAGCTAAAGCAAAAAGGACTGACAGGAAGAGGAAGGGTGCTTGCCTACCAAGCAGTTCAAACATCAATATTGAAGGGAAAAAAAAGACTTTAGGATAGCTCCCTACGGCAGTTTCATTAGATAATCTCCCTAAGCCTCCAAAGACATACATAATATTAGTTAAGATAATGTTACTGATACACTAATGAAAACCCATACCAAGTTCCCTTCTGCCCATTTTCAAGTATATTTGCTGCTTTGAAGAGGCCTCTTAAACGGAAATTTTGGAAACACTCTTAGTTGAAGTAAATATAGTAAAGGAGATAAAATATTTCTGTAAACTTAGTCATGTACTGAATCTATACTGATTAAAAATATATAAACAAGTCGGGTGCTGGTGGCTCATGCCTATAATCCTAGCTACTCAGGAGGCTGAGATCTGAGGATCATAGTTCAAAGCCAGCCCGGGCAAGAAAGTCAGTGAGACTCTTATCTCCAATAAATCACTAGAAAACCAGAAGTGGCACTGTGGCTCAAGTGCTTGCCTTGAGCTGAAGAGCTGAGGGACAGCACCCAAGCCCAGAGTTCAAGCCCCACGACCAACAACAACAAAAACATATATATATAAACAAAAAATCAGTACATATGTATATTTATGTATTAGTTATATTGTATATCTTATACTTAGCATTACATATAATATATAAATATTGCGTACGTTTATATTATGTGCTTATAAATATTGCATTACAAAGTTTTATGAAAATATGTATATGTGTGAATGTATAAATATGTGTGTGTTTCCATATATTCATATACATATATGAAGAGAAGAATCTGAATTTATAAAGAGTTCTCAAAATCAAGTCCTTGAAGACAAAGGAAAAGAGAGAAATAGGTTGAAGTAGTTTAAGATTAGACTCACAAAGTTAACAAGTTAATATGAAAGGTAAAAAGTTAAATGAATTTGAAAATTAAAAGTGTCTTAACTGTTAAAAATGAAGTACTTGGGGCTGGGAAGGTGACTCAATGGTAGAGTGCTTGCCTTGCATGCATGAAGCCCTGGGTTCTGTTCCTCAGCATCACATAAGCAGAAAAGGCTGGAAATGGCACTGTGGTTCAAGTGGTAGAGTGCTAGCCTTGAGCTGAAGAGCTGAGGGACAGTGCCCAGGCCCAGAGTTCAGGTCCCACGACCAACAACAAAAAAGCCCTTGCATGTAAACCATGCTGACCATTTTGTAACTGGCTATTGGCATAATGCTCTGCACTTGGTCTCACTAGGCAGTTAGCGGATAAGTAATTGGGAGGCAAATGTAATACTCAATTGCACTGAAATCAGTTTCATGTCCTTTCACTGTCTAGAAAACATTGTAAGTATGCCAAGAATCTACACCAGTGGCTCATGCCTGTAATCCTAGCTACTCAGGAGGCTGAGGCTTGAGGATTATGGTGCAAACTCAGTCCAGGCAGGAAAGTCTGTGAAACTCTTACCTTCAATGAACCAGTAAAAAGTTGGAAGTGGAGCTGTGGCTCAAGTGGTAGAGAGCTAGCCTTGAGACAAAAAGCTCAGTCAGGGACAGTGCCCAGGCCCCAGAAGTGCCCTTCCTCTCCCCTACCAACCCCATCCAGAAAAAATGTATTAAGGCTAAAAAATGAATGCCTGTCATGTACAGAAGAAAAAGTCAATGAGAGGGAGAAAGAGGCATACAGTAGCAGAGAATGTTAGGCCACATTTCAGCACGTACTTCCTTATCATTTTTCTTCTCATGTATTATAGCCATCTCATTTTTGAGTCGTTGGATTTCATCCTTCACTCGGCCCAGTTCTCGTTGGGCAATGGCCTTAAAATGTTCTTCACTTTCAATCTCACGCTCCCTTGCTTTGTAAAGACACTATGAAATAATTATAAAGTACTTATAATAATCCTTTAGACAAGAAAAGTTCCCACATCATGCTTAGATCAAGGACTATTAGCTCCATTACTATAAAACCCACACCACATTTCAATGTGATTACAATGTAGTTGGCATTGCTCACTAATTGTAAGTCAATAAACTGCCAGAGGAAATACTGTCTTCAGTTTTCAGATATTACATTGATTTAGGAAAACCCAAAAAACCAACTTAAAAGATATAACTCATTCTTTATCCATAAATGAAAAATATCAATTAAAAACAATATAAGTTAAAATTAAAAAAATTAAAAGCACAAAAAATAGAATTATATCAAATTGACTGCATACTCTAATTAAAAGATAATTTCAAAATGTTTAAGAACTGATGGCTATAAATATTTCCTAAAATATATTAGCATACTATCCTGCCTTTGAACTGGGTTGTATTTAATAAAGACATTTTTTTCATTAATGATCTTAGAGTGCTCAAAATGAATACTCTTAGTATTAACTTTACATTACTAAAGATGCTACTATTATAGGTAGTTGATTATCTTTTATGTTTTTAAATTCAGATTTGTCTATTTAATCCAGGTTTGATGGCAATAAAATATACATATAAAGAATCTTGATCTTAAAAAAAAAAGAATCTTGATCTTGCCAGGTGGCTTATACCTATAATCCTAGTTACTCAGGAGGCTGACATCTGAGGATTGCGATTCAAAGCCAGCTCAGGTAGGAAAGTCCATTAGACTCTTATCTTAATTTGCCACCAGAAAACAGGAAGTGGCACTGTGGCTGGTGGAGAAAGTGGTGGAGTGTTCACCTTGAGCTGAAGAGCTCAAGGACAATGCCCAGGCCTAGAGTTTCAAGCCCCATGACCGACAAAAAAAAAAAAAACAACTTGATCTTTCAAATCCCCAACTCAGTAGTTTAGTAAAATTAGGGAAAATATTGTTCTAAATAGTTTATTGATTATCAGGATTCAAGAATCCTGAATGTACTGTTTATTTAAAGCTCAATAAATGTGTAACTTTCTAATGAGATTTGGGAACCATAAAATAATTAAAGGTGCTCTTTTCTTTGATTTACAACTGTTTTCTCAGGAAGATAAATGAATTTAGAAAAAAAAATAGTTTGAGATGGAAGTTGGTAAACTGTCCAATGCTGATTTTCCAGCTGTCTGGGTTTGCTGCACATCATCGGGGAAGGAGGTCTATACTTAAATAGATTATTTATAAAAACAAAAAAAATAGTTTTCAATTTTAAATTAATTTGTATATGTATTCTAATGTAATTTGTACTTGTATCTCAAATTAATTTTGCCTTCCCCTGTTATCTTTAAATCTCCTAAATTTACTTGAATTTATTCACCTTAGTAGTATCATTGATTTCAAAAGACCCGAAGCCAGATGCGGTACTGCATGCCTATAATCCTAGCACTGGGGAGGCTAAGGAATATGGACTGAGAGCTCAAGGCCATCCATAGCTATATGATGATACTGTCTCTCAAAAAATTAATTATTGAACTATGCTAATACAGCCATAGGGTTACTGAAGTGTATACACTATTATCCTCTACTCAAAATCATCCTAGTGGGTTGTCCCAAAAAGTTTTAAAGGAGATAGAAACTCTATTAAGATTCCATTAGTGCTGTTTCTGCTTGAGGCCATAACTGCTCACTGCTTTCATTAGATGCTTCTCATATTTTCCTGCTGTTCCACAGGACATTTTAAGTGATGATTTCTCCTTCCACCTGAATTAATTTGGGTTTAAAATGGGTAACAGTAGTAAGTTCCTCAACGACTTTTTCTATCTGCTTTCAGACTCAAGGTTGTGTTCCCAATAGTTTGATTATGATAAAGTGACCTGTTATATCTCTAAAATCAAATCCCGGATACAAGAGCACTGTGAAATGTTCCATGACTACCTATGACATAATCAACATAAATTTCAATATTATTGTACCTGTGTTAATGAGAATTCTTGCTTGACATTTTTGAAGTGAGAAGTCATTGCATTAATTCGATCTTCAAAGTCATGCAGCTCATCTTGCAAGCTTGACCTTTCATCCTGCAGCTTTAGTAACTGTAAATAATAAATTATGTGGTTAACCCAAGCCTTATTAAAAAAACCTACTGAAAAGCCCTATTGAAAAACCTAAAATCAAAAGTCCTATTGAAACACTTAAATCTAAGAGAAATTAAATCTTCACTTATCTCATATCAGAATTTGAGATGCTGTAGCCAACATACTACAGCCTGGGTGTCCCAACCAACAGAAACTTATTCCTCATAATTTGGAAGCCTGAGATCATCAAGGTGCTGGCTGCCTTGGTTCTGGGAAGGGTCCTCTTCCTAGTTTACAGACACATATCTTCTTTCTGTATCCATACACAATAAAAAGAAAAACCATCTATCTGTTGCTTCTGCTAATAAAAATCCTGTTCGTACTTAGGAGAGAGCTTCACTTCACTGGCCTAGCTGCCCCCAAAACCCCAGCTCTACACTGAGGGTTAAGACTTCACCATCCGAGCTTTGGAAGAACACAAATATTCAGCACATACCATTGTGCTTCTTAGAATGTTCACAAAATCTTCTAAAATCTACTGATATTGAAAATGTAAAATAATGGTGCAATTTGGAGATTATTGTGGGAAAGTTAACACCATATTACACAGAACAGAAATCTTCCTTAGCTTTAGAACAATCATAGGCTCCATCACTAAATTACAGTTTTCTACATCAGTATTGCATTCTTGTCAGGCAAAAATGAGAATAGATTCAGTAACTAAATCATAAGATATCTTAAGTATACATAATGGTTACAAACATTTTTTTTCTCCCTGAACTTTTTTTTCCAAACTCATAGACTTAGGTTAAACATAACCAAATAGTGCTCATGTGTTTATGTTTCTTTACTAATTTTGTTTGTCTTTGAATTAAAACCACTAACAAACAAAACGAAATTAAACACTATGTAAAAACAAACTAAAACATTTGGGGAATTACAAGATAGAGTCTTAGGACTATGCGAATACATTATGCCTCAAAGTAGTACAAAAGCTCAACAAAAGAAAAGATGCTTCCTTACAAACTTGAGCTACAGATTTCAAAGTTAGGGATACCTCCCAGGGATACAACCAAGTCACTGAAATGTGGAAGAAAATGTTAGAAGTCTCATCTAAGGGAAAAATTATGCTAATCTGTGTCCTATATGTTGTTAAACTTATTAATATCAAATATTGGTTTAAATATTGTTGTATTCTTCGCAGGATTTTATATCCATATTACTTATACTAGATGTTTCATTAATTTCAGTTTTTAGTTTTAATTCCTTTTTACTTTGTGTCTTTTAGTACATGATGAAGGTACTTAAAGTTATACATTGCTCCTAATGCACAAAATTTTTGCTGTATGAATATAGATATAAAGAAGTCATGTTCCATTCTTTCCTTACATATTCCCTTTCAATGTATTTTTCTTTTTTCTTTGTGTGTGTGTGTGTGTGTGTGTGTGTGTGTGTGTGTGTGTGTGTATGCATTTGTGCACGCGTGTGTGCTGCTTCTGGGGCTTAAACTCTGGGCCTGGATGCTGTCCCTGAGTTTCTTTTGCTCAAGTCTAGCACTCTACCACTTGAACTCTTTGAGACACAGCTCCACTTCCAGTTTCCTATCTCTCTCTCTTTCTTTTTCTCTCTCTCTTTCTTTCTTTTCTCTCTTTCTCTATTTCCTTCTCTTTCTTTCTCTTTCCCTTCCTTCCTTCCTTCCTTCCTTCCTTCCTTCCTTCCTTCCTTCCTTCCTTCCTTCCTTCCTTCCTTCCTCTCTCTCTCTCTCTCTCTCTCTGTTTCTTTCTTTCTTTCTTTCTAGTTTACTGGGGAGAAGAGTCAGGAACTTTCCTGCCCAGCCTGGCTTTGAACCATAGTCCTCACATCTCAGCCTCTGGAGTACCTAGGACTATAATTAGTGAGCCACTGGTGCCTACCTTCAATGTTTTTTTTGATATAAGAACTAACCAGGAAATATATTTTCAGAAACATGCCAAGCAATATGATACAGGATCATTTTAAAACTCAAATTTAAAGTTATTTTCAGTTATCCTAAAACTTGCTGTAAATTCCATTGGCTTTCAGAGAATGTGATCTGTCAATTTTCTATTTATGTAGTGTTTTAGGGATTGTAAATATTTTAAATGTGGTAAAGTATACTTAACAAAAATTGGCCATTTTGATAATTTTAGGTGTCTAGTTCCATGACACTGAGAACATATGGATTATTGTGTAGCCGCCATCACTATCTTTCTTCAGAACTTTTCCATCTTCCCCTATTGAAACTTGAGTACCTCCACATAATCAAGTACCCTGCATAATTGTGTACTCCACATAATTCTTATAATTCTTACAAGATTGTGTGTACCTCACACAGCTTTAATAGGGAAACGGGTTAAACACTGAGTCCCTGTTCCTTCAAATCCCACCAGTCTACTTTCTGTCTCTCTAGGTACCTCATAAAAGTATTCAGTGTTTGTCCTTTTGTATGAAACTCATATCGCTTAGCACGATGCCTTCCAGGCTTACTGTTCACTTTTATCACTCTCATTAACATTTCGGTAGTAACAAAGTACACTATTAAATGTTTCAAGGATATGTTGTAAGGCATATATTTTCTCTTCAAGGGATATATGCACTGCTTTTTATTGTATTATTTATATCCTTATCTTTGTCCATTGTGCTTGTCTAATTCTAAGGAGATCATGAATGAAGTACTTCACTATAACTGCATTTTGTAGCTCCAAGTTTTATTTAATTAGCATACAGCTTTGTGGTTTCTATTCATTCACCAATCATGCCTGTTATCATCACATAATGTCTGCAGATTGAAACTTTTGCTTATGAGTAAGAGCGTAATTTAATTTGTAACTTGAGAAGCCTTCCTCATGGAGTTCCCAAATTCTTATTGCTTCTTTTTTAAATACAAAAGAATAAAATGCACCCGATATTTGTTGAAAGCTTACATCACATGAAGGATACTAAAATAAAGCATAAGAACACTCATCTCTTCATCTTTAAAAGTAGTCAGTGATCCCCAATTCACTTGCTTGTCAGGTCTGGAGAATGGGTTCTATAAACTGCCATGAATTTATAAAGGCAATCTGATCATATCCATTAAAATTAAAATTGATCTGTTCCTTCTCCTGCCAATAAAAGCAACATGTACACATTTATCTCTGAATTTGTTTTTACGTCATGTGTGGTGGGAAAAACTTGGAAATTTTGACATTAAAAAATCAAAATAGTCAATAAATACTGTCCATAAATGAAACAGTTTTCAAAAAACTTATTTTTTCTCAAGTAAAGTTGTTATGGGAGTTTTCAACAACCAATATTTCTTATGATCAAGCAATACCTAAATTTCTTTTCCTTGCTAGGATTTGTATTTTGTGTTTAAAATAGCATATATACCTCATTGTATTTTTATAATATTCCTGTTGTCTCTTCTTTCTGTATAGCTCTATTACAACTGTTTGAAATGTGTTTATTGTAGTGATAAACACTTCAGACAACAGTGGATATTTTGCTGAGGAGATATTTTGTATTTTTAGTTTATGCTCCCTCTTCTCTTTGAATATCTTAAACTTAAGAGAGTTGCTCTTTTGTTTTTGAGGCACTGGGAATTGAATTCTACTTCCCACTTCCAACAGTTGCTTTTTTAATGTCAGACTTTATTTTGGTGAAGCAATTATGGTCCTCAACTTTTCCTCTTTTCACTATTCTGTAATTTTTTAAACAGCCAACCTCAATAATACGTATATAAAATTCTATGAGATAAATATCACGGCGATAATAACTAAGAACATTTAAATTGTACATATGACATTCTTACTGAATGTCCTTCAATTTACTCTGATTTTTAAACATAACAGACAGAAACCTAGAAAGAAATAATGAGTTTGGTTTATAACTATGCTTAAGTGGGCGTTACTAAGCAATTTCTGCGATCCCTTTCCAAAAGGCCCTAAAATTTGAGTAAAGGAAAAGCCAGCTCAGAAGGCTAGAAATGAAAACCCGGAAGGGGCAGGAGAGGAGTGGTGGGAGAGAAAGAAGGACAATTCGAGTTTTATAGTCAGTATCAGTATTTCGATTTGCTTTTTAAAAAAATGTAATGTATGCCAGACACAGGCAGCTCAAACCTGTATTCCTAACTACTAAGGAGACTGAGATCTGAGGACAAGCAGTTCAAAGCCAGCCCGGGCAGGAATTCACCACCACCAGAAAAAGACAAAAGGAAACCATCAGAAGTGGAGCGGTGGCTCAAGTACTAGAGTTCTAGCCTCGAGCTAAAAAAAGCTCAGGGACAGTACTCAGGTCCTGGGTTTGAGCCCCAGGATCACCTCTTCTGCCCCTCTGCCCCTCACTCCTTTCCCCCTTACCTCTCTCCCCCTCCCCTCCTCCTCGGTCCCCCCCCTCTGTCTGTCTGTCTCTGTGTCTCTGTGTCTCTCTCTGTTTCTGTCTCTGTCTCTGTCTCTGTCTCTCTCTCTCTCTCTCTCTCTCACACACACACACACACACACACACACAATTTTTCAATTAGCGAAAAGGGTAGGCAAAGGTGATGGAGGAGTTAGGATAGGGGACGCTAGGAGAGTTCAGAATGGAGGTTAAAGGAGGGAAGTTACAGATTACAGGGCTCGCTCCTCACCTGCTCTTCCAGCAGCTGGTTCTCCTTGTTGGCCACTGGGATGGCGAACCCATCCTCCCAGTGCAGCTCGGCCAGAAATTCACTGCTCATGGCAATCGGAATCCCAGACGAGGAAGCAGGACCAAAACGTGCCTGGTCGCCCCCGCCCGCGAGGGAGCCACAGCCCCCCTCCCTGATCCCGGCAGGTACGAGCAAAGTTGCTACCGGACCCTAGCAACAGCCCGGCGTCCTTAGTTACCAAACAGCAAGCGCTTGGGCCAGAGGGAGGGACTTCCGGTTAAAGATTCCAGGTTCCTGAAGGAACCCGAGTGCGCTCGCCGCGCGGGGGGAGACACGACTGCACCCCTTCCCCGACCGCGGCCGAGGTCGCTGCGCGGCGCTGGCGAGGGTCACGGCCTGGGGGCGCTGAGGCCACAGCCGAGGACCCACGGGAACCTGCTTGGACCTGTGCTCCACAGCCCCAGATCCCCCCCATTCTTTCCCCAACTGGCGTGCGCATTCATCCCGCAGCCCTCACCCTACGCCAGGCAAGACTAGAGGAAAGGCGCCTCTCACACTGGTAAGCATGCGCCTCATTTGCCCAGCGCCCCTGAACCCCTGCCCGGCGTGGGTAGGCTTGAGTTGTGCTCTCAGTAGCACCTCACAACTAAAAGGAACAAAACAGTTCATGAAGGTAATCCTTGCACTTCCAGATTAATTTAAAAACAAGATATGGTTACTGTTCTATCATCACCCCTAACAAAATTAACTTCTTCAGTATCACCTGAGAACCATTTTATGTTCGCATTTCCTCCGCTGTCCAGAAAATAAATCTTTTACAATTGCTTTATTATGCTCTTAAAACCCTCCTTTTTGCAGCTTTATTTCTTCGTGCCTGAATTATTTCTCAACATTTTATCTTCCGGAGGTAGTGTTTTTAAAGTCTAGAATTACACAATTCCCATCAAAATATCACTGACATTCTTTACTGAGATAGAGGAAACAGTCTAAAAATTCATACGGAATAACAAAAGACCTTGAATATCCAAAGTAATTCTAGGCAATAAATAAATAAATAAAAGAGGCAACACTGGTGGTATCACAAGCTCTACTACAGGACTGTAATAAAAACAGCTTGGTGTTGGCGCAAAAATAGACCTAAAGATCAATGGAACAGGAGGTGGAAAATAACAAAAAAAGAAAGAGAGGAAAAGAAGAATTTCAGAACAGAGAAGAGCGAAGACCCCTCCCCCAACCTTTACTGGCCGCGCGGCAGTGCGCCAAGCCGCCGGCCAGCCGGCCCGGCAGGGGCTGCCGGAGCCACAGAGACACAGGGGGCTGCTTGCAGATCACCAGGTACCGGATTGCAGAACAGCGGATCGCCAGGAACAGAGAAACCTACCAGCCGGGAGTCTCCAGGAGGATCCCACCCCACCCATCACTCTCCACCGGAGCGGAGAGGCTCCATCCCGCCAAAGCCGCCCGGCACCAGCAGCGCCACAAAGGGACCTGTCGCGATCGCAACGACCCGGCGGGGGGCCGCCCAACCCAGCCCGCAACCACCCCAACTGAACTCGGACTGCAACAACAACTGACGGACTGCAACAACAACTGACGACCTACAGGGTGAGTACCCATCAGGGGACAGGGAATCCATCAAGGGAGACCAGAGCTGGAGGGAATCCCCAGACCCTGACCTAGACTCCCTACCCCAACACCCGGACCACAGGACCCACTAAAACTGGGAACTGTTCGAGAGCCCCACCAGCCGGTGGAGCACACTCTGCTGGCCAGGCCAGAGCAAGAGCGCCCCGGGAAGGGAGCTTAAATGCTCAAGCCAGGAACAGTGCCCCTGGGTCAAGACTACCAACAGTAGAAGAAATTTGAACTGTGTCCTCCAGGCTGCATAACCAAGGTGGTATACACATTAGCACAGGCCTAACGAGCGCGCTCCAGGCTGGGGCCGGAACCAGGCCAGGGGACCGGCGCCTGAACAAAGCAAAAAGGGTCAGAAGTGGGGCTGTGGCTCAAATGGTAGGGTGCCAGCCCTGAGCTGAAGAGCTGAGGGACAGCACCCAAACCTAGAGTTCAAGCCCACAACCAGCCCAAAACAAACAAAAACACATCAGGAGCCCATAGCAGACTCCAGTATTTGGGAGAGTGCATCCAGAGCATCTGATCTTCCCAAGAGCACCCGCAGGAGCAAACACAAGCAGTCTAGGCTGCTCAACCCTTCCAAAGGCGGGAATTGCTACAGCAGAGAGCTGAGAATCCTAAGTGAATAGCAGCTGGAAATAGGCTCCCAACAGAATCCAGATCAGACACAGACTCTCTCTACCAATAGAGAATCAGCAACCAAGCAAAGACAGACACACCAAAACAAGATTGAAGAGCAGTCTCCTGAACCCCCATGCGAAAATCACAGAGAAAAATCACAAGGTTTACCACTACCCAGGACAGCAAGCTCACCTCAAAAGCCAGCAGCCACGCAGGGGAGAGCCCCAGTGGGAGCAAAGCAGGAATGGAAGACAAAAACTACATCCAAGGGTTGCTGGAGGCAATGACTCAAGAAATAAAGCGAGAAATGGATCAGAAATTGAAAGAGCACAAGGATGAACTATCAAAAGATATACAGGATATCAAACAAAAATTGGATGCAAAAATAGAAGCTGCACAAACCTCAGTAAGAAGTGAGATAAACGCCAAATTAGAGGTAATGCATACTGATATCACCTCATTGAGAGGTGAGATCAGTACTCTGAGAACCAACATTGAATCCATAAAGGGATCCATTTCCATCATGCAAACCACAATAGAAGCCACGGTCAACAGAGTGAATGAAATGGAAGGTAGAGTGTCAGATACAGAAGACAGAATACACCAACTGGACCAAAAAGTGACAGATATGGAAAAATCACTCAAATTAAACCAAAGGGAAATTCAAGAGCAAGCAGATAATGCTAAAAAATTTAACCTTCGCATAATCGGAGTGGACGAAGGTGAGGAATTCCAGAGCAAGGGAATGCAACACCTATTTAACAAGATAGTCAATGAAAATTTTCCCCACCTCAAAAACGACCATCTTAACTACATCACAAAAGCTTATCGAACACCCAACAAGCAAGATCCCAGGAGAAACACTTCTAGGCACATAATAGTAACAATGATGGATCTGAATAATAAGGAAACAATCCTGCATGCAGCAAAAATGAAGAAGGAGCTATACTACAACGGGAAAAAAATTAGAATCACTGCAGATCTCTCCACACAAACAATGAATGCAAGAAAAGCCTGGGAAAGCACCATACGAGCCCTGAGAGCCAATAACTGCCAACCCAGACTGATATACCCGGCAAAGCTAGCATTCACATTCGATGGAGAACTGAAAACTTTTAATAGCAAAGAAAAACTAAATGAATACATAAACATTAAGCCAGCATTACAAAGAATTCTAAGAGGGGGGACACAACCTGAAGAAAGCAACCAGGAACTGGGACCTGCCCCAAACAGGCATTACTCAAAGTCTAACTGAGCAAGCACAGGAGGAAAGGAAAGAAGAAAAACTTAGGAAAACGGAATGGCAGGGACAACAATGCATCTCTCTATACTTTCTCTTAATATAAATGGGCTGAATTCGCCAATTAAAAGAAAACGAACTGAGGACTGGATCAGAAAACAAGACCCATCCATCTGTTGCCTTCAGGAGACCCACCTCTCAGCCAAACATACAAACAAACTCAGAGTGAAGGGGTGGAAAAGGATCTACCAATCAAATTCCCCCAATAAGAAAGCAGGTGTAGCTATCCTGATATCTGACAAAATAAACTTTTCATTAAAATCAGTACAGAAAGACAAGGACGGACATTACATATTAATAAAGGGAACAATCCAAGAGGAGGATATAACCATCATCAACTTATATGCCCCAAATATCGGTGCACCCAGATATGTTAAACAAATGCTCTCAAACTTACAGAATAAAATAGATCCCAATACGATAATACTAGGAGACTTTAACACGCCACTCTCACCAAAGGACAGGTCTACCAACCAGAGGATTGGCAAAGAAGCTACCGAATTAAGTGAGGCCATACTTCAAGCGGAATTAACTGACATCTACCGAGTATTTCACCCTAAAACAACACAGTACACATTCTTCTCAGCAGCTCATGGAACTTTCTCCAAAATAGACCATATCATAGTTCATTCAAGGAACTTAAGCAAATACAAAGGGATCGACATAATCCCCTGTATCCTATCTGACCACAGTGGAATCAAGCTAGCTCTCAATAACAAAGCATACCGCAGAAATTTCTCTAATACATGGAAATTGAACAGCACACTCCTTAACAAGGCCTGGGTAACAGAAGAGATCAGAGAAGAAATAAAGCATTTCCTAGAACTCAATGAAAATGAAAACACCTCACAAAGAAACTTGTGGGACACAGCAAAAGCAGTCCTGAGGGGCAAATTTATTGCCCTCAGTGCCCACATCAAGAGAATGGAGACAGACCAAGTAAATAATCTCATGTTGCAACTAAAACAGCTAGAAAAACAAGAAAAAATGGGACCTAAAGCTACTAGACGAAGCCAGATAACCAAATTGAGAGCAGAGATTAACCAATTAGAAAATCAGAAAACCATAACCAAAATAAACCAAACAAAAAGCTGGTTCTTTGAAAAAATAAACAAAATTGATGGCCCGTTGGCAAGATTAATTAAAAAAAGAAGAGAGGAAACCCATATTAATAGGATTAGGGATGCCACGGGAAACATCACAACACGTACCCAAGATATCCAAACAATTCTAACAGACTACTTTCAAAAGCTATACTCTCTAAAGGAAGAAAATCTGGCGGAAATGGATGCATTTTTAGAGAAATACAAGTTACCCAAACTGAGCAAAGAAGAAGTTAACCAATTAAATAAGCCAATATCCTATAATGAGATACAGGAAGCTATCAAAAGTCTTCCAACAAAAAAAAGCCCAGGACCAGATGGATTCACAGCAGAATTCTATAAGACCTTTAAAGAAGAACTAATACCCATACTCCTCAAGCTCTTCAGAGAAACAGAGAAGGAGGGAGCTATCCCAAACTCATTCTACGAAG